ACGATGATGACAAGGACTCTGCGGATGCAGCTGCCTCCGCAAAGAACGAGCTTACCCAACAGATCTTCACCAAAACAATGACAATACAGGTTTGGAGACCTGAGTTTGAGCGACCTGGTCGGCATTTCGTTTACACCACACGGTACGCGTACTTCTTCGTCAATCTCCTCGACCAGCTCGATGATCGAGCAAACCTTGACCAGTTGCTGCGCCGAGTGAGGAAGAAGCAGGGGGATTTCATCAACCACAGCAAGCTCTGGGAGGATGCGTGTCTTACCTATGCCAGGGTAATCAGGAGAGCTGGCCATATCAGCGAGGGCCATGAAGAGGGCGTTTTCAAGCCCATTGGTTGGGAAGAATTTGTCGCAAACACAGCTCGTTTAGAGGGCCTTGCACAATTATCCCCAGAGAGCCCATCACTTCTTGAACTTCTTCGAGATGCTATTGAGCTGAAAAAGCTCAACAACAACCTTATGAAGGTCTCGTTGCTCGAAGACCTTATTGCAGACCTCTATGCCCGACTTTACGAAGTCAACATGCCACAAGTCATCGAACAAGCGAACGAAGAAAATAAAGAGAAGATGAAAGTCGATCATCTCCTCATGGTTAGTGACGGAGCTGCTGATACTCCTACGCCTCCAACCTCAGCCCCAGCCTCTGAAGCACCTGCACCTCGCGGTCGCACAAAGGGTATTGCACGACGTGACGTCCAAAAACGAGCGGAAACGATCGTGAACCGTAAAGTGCCCCCACGTGCACCCATGGCCAAAATCCCTGCCACCACAGAAGCCGAGCAAGCCAACACTTCCGAAGCTGGTCCAACCTCCGCTCCCAAGCAGACAACCAAATCAGGGCTGTTAGGATCTACTACGGAAGATGTAGGATCAGGACAACAGAGCGATATTCCTAACAGCTTGCACGATAGCGCGGATGATGAGAGCGAACTCAGCGAAATGGACGACGAGAAACTGGCCAAGCTGACAACCGAACGCAAGCTACTGTTCCCTAACCTCGATGATCGGGGCTCCATGGATCCAGAATCAGAGCTAGCGAGCGCAGACGGGGATGGAGGTCATGAAATGGAGGGAGATACTGAGCTTGTAGAGGGCGAAGGCGAGACTATGGTCGAAGAAGCCGAAGACGCTGTCGATGGTGATGACGATGAAATGGAAGGCGAAGAAGAGAATGAGAATGAAGCTGGCGGCGACGAAGATATGGAGGGTGAAGGTGAAGGCGAAGATGAAGGGGATGGGGATCCGGAAGAGGATGAAGATGGAGAGGGAGATGGAGATGGCAATGATGTCACCGAAATGGAAGGTGTGCAGGATAACGACGAGATGGATGACGCTGAGCAGGCTGAGATCCCCGGAACAGATCAGGAAAGTGAAGCTGGATCTGAACCGGAAGCAATGGAAACCTAAGTGAAGGTTATCCACCGTGCGAGTGTGGAATCATTCGTGCTCATGTTTGACACGACCTTTTGACCTTCGAAGTATGCGTTAGGCTCTATTTTACTTGGCGTGCAACGGACAGCAGGCGTTTTGGGGGCACTTCTCCGCAAGGTTTATGTATCATAGAAATATTAATATTGAAACAAGAAAGGGGAATATTGGTATCAACTAAATAATCCACCAGAACGCCCGATACATCCTTCCCAACCGTACGCCATCAGAGCAAGTAATTATGTCCAACGAAAGTCATCCTGCCAAACGAATACAAGGAGATGGCGGTCTTTCGGTAACAGCTCAGATATCTTCCTCGGGGGCCAGATCCCATTTCCGAGTCGCCATCTTTCTTTGTCTCTTGCCAGGTGAACTAGCGGGCTGCGGTGCAGGAGAGAACATGCTATCCGCAAGCTTTAGCTGGTCCATCCGCTTGAGAGCAACCTCAATATCACTCTCGCGTCCGAAGATATTAGAGTTGCGAGAAGCTTCTAGAGTATTCTTTGACCTGGATTTCTTGGTAGGAGAGCGGCAGTTCAGTTCGCGTTCCAGGGCTGCTATCTTGCTGCGAAGCTGGTCGTTCTCAAACTCGAGGTCTTCAACCCGCTCGTCTGAGGAGGGTTTAGGGTCTTCATAAACTGAACAGGCTGTTAGTATAGTAAGAGAGAAGATGTTAGCGGGCACAACTTACTTTGGAATCCTCGTGACACGATTTCAATCTTCTTGTCGAGGTGCTCGTCGTTGAAACCAGACTGGTTTAATTAGTATATGGCGAATCAGCGTGCACTGGAATGAGACTTACTTGTTGATCCAAGGCATTTTGCCATCTCTTTCGCTCTTCTTCCATACGCTCGTCCATCTCATTCCAACATTCTTCGCGCACTTCTTGTTCGATCATGATGCATCTTTCTTCACTTGCCTTGAGTCTTAGCTCGAAATCAGTCCGGAGAATCTCTTCCTCGGCGAGTCTCACTGAGAGAGATTCATTCTCTGTGGTCAACCTCGCGATCTCCGCCAGGGCCTTCTCAAGCTCTTCGTTTGTGCCCATGCTGGGAGTATTGCGTCCACTGACAGATCCGTGACGAGATCCGAGTGTGCTGGACAAGATAGATTCGGCAATTGAGGGAGCTCTAGGCACGGCAACTTCACGAGCTAATGCCGAGTAGCGCAGTATTTGGGAAGTCGCGTTGTAATCTCCCATGGGATCGGCAGTGACAATCATAATGGCCTTCTGTGGGTGGCGGTTGAAGCCAGTAGTCTGGTTGGAAGACGGGAAAGAGTTCGAGAAAAGTAGCTCGGTGAGCTTGCATTGTCTGAATGGGACCATGGTAGCCTATTCAGGTTAGCATCAGGAATTGATAACAAGCCAGCTTCGTAGCATACCTTATTTCCATCCTGTATGTCACTCTGCATCTGAAGACATTGGCCAAGGTACATCAAGCTCTCGTTAATCTTGCCGGCCTCTGCCAGGGTCGAACCAGCCGTTTTAGCAGTCCGCGCGCGCTCAGAACCTGTTCATGTTAGCTTCACCACGGCAAGCGAAGAGTCAATACTAACCAGCAAGATCTGCCACCGTGAGCGTGTTGCCTATCCAAGTTTCTTCACCAGTTCTCTTGTTTCGCATTCTTCTCTTGACTTCCAAACAGAAGAAACCATGACTACGGGAACTGACGCTGTTGGCTCCGGTTCCAGTGACCTTGCGCTCAGTAAGGCCGACTTCGAGGACCGACAAAGCCTCCTCGTAGGTGCTGCATGCTATCTTGCGCAGTCCCGCAACAACCTTGCGGTCAGGGGAGCCTTCCGTTGGCTTGAAAAACAAGGCTCTGCGTCTGTCCTTCTGAGAATTTCCCCCCTGACGGGACATCGTACTTCCTTGGCCCGGTACTATAGCGGGTGACAGTAGATCGAAGATGCGATCGTTGTAAACTTCGTACATCGACACTAGGACGACATATTCGGAATTAGGGTTCAGCTCCATGGTGAGATGGCTGACATCGGGCGAGCGAAGCAGGCCGTTGGGACGTTGGGGCATATTGCGACGGGGGAATATAAGGGCAGGTGTCGGTTCCTTTGCCGGTTGAGACAATATGTTAGCATGAGCGGAACTATTAAGACTCAAGTGGGTGCACGGGTCGTGCTTCATCTTTTCTCTCAATCTAGGATGCATGTTGAGAAGGTTGATGTAGCATGTTCTCGAGAGGGATTCGCTGTATATTTTTGGATAGGGACCAATACGGGCAGTGGCCAGAGGGGAAAACCGCGTGGTGCCTTGCAACGGTGTCTTGGGGGGAGGGCGCCATACCGTCATAGGGGTAGCTCTTCCAGTGCTCATTGGCGTCTGGGCTCTCGAGTTTCTTCCACGTTCGGCAGGGTCACCATACACAGCCTCGAGGAATGTTTGCGCCGTGAACATTTGGGCTTCGGAACCGTCTGACGCGGCCACAGTTGACAGGAGAAGAGGGCTGATGGAATTGTCGGCTGGCCTGATAGTAGAGGCCAAAGAATTGAAGATAAGGTCAAGGCTCATCTGGGTAATTCCTCGCTGCGACTTTGAACCTAGGATTGTATGGCTCTGGAAGTTGTCACTGTCAGTACGTGTTCACGTTCACTTATGGGGGTACGGTAGAACGGACCTTTCCGCTACCTGTTACTCCCAACGTCGCAATAAGGCCATCCCTGCCTTCAACCAATACCCCCCTAACCAGGGAGTCCAGCTCGGTGCCATGGAAGACGTCTAGCTGGGACGCGGACTCTTCGAACACCTTGGTGAAACCGAACCTTTCAACGGCACGCTTTCTAGCATCGGATGGGGGTTGCAGGGTGATATGAGTAGGAAATGCAGCTGCCGTCTCCTGGCCATCTTCAGCAGTGACCTTTGGCTCTGGAGTCTCGATAGTCAAGCATCGTTCGGCGTGTTCCTCCAAATGCTGCGGCATAGGTGGCCGCAGGCGGAGGTACACCTGGAATAGAGATGCGGGGGAGGACTTTGTCGAGCTCATGGTGGTAAGCAGTCCACGTTGTCTGTTCACATTCGATTGAACAGAGTGGAGTAACTGCGAGATGTCGTGCGTCTTTGGGCGATATGAGGTCCAGATCGAAGCACCATCGAAGCTGGAGAAGGCGATACTTTCCCCAGGCCAGCAATCACGTTATGTTGACTTTGCCCTTTTGGGTTGGTGTCATGTTGTCCTGACAACTGGTGGCGCATGATGTAAGCTCGTATTTGTATGCCTGCAGATTCAGGCGGGAATTAGAGTTTCTAGTGCGAGTTACGGGCCTTAGTGCCTGAATGCGCCCGGCTCAGCCTTGCTCGTATTCGCTACTCTTGGCGCTTGTTGTAGTCCAGCAATCTCATGAGCCAGCTGGTTACTTGGGTTTGGGAGTTACTGCCATGTGACGTGCCATCATCTTTGTGCGATGCCACATTCTGGTACTCAGCCATCGCATGTGGAGCCGCGTAGGGCATTGAGGGTCTTGGTTGCAGTAACCAAAAGTCAATAAGGTTGAGGCGATGCTTTCTCCCAAGCTCATGGCTCGGATCAGGCACTAACCCAAAATGGTGTGCTCGTTTTCGCTTGTTCTTCGCAGTCAGCGGCTGAAGATGTTAAGGCAGTATATATACAGGGGAGATTTCGAAGATGAAGCAAAAGGCGTGTGCTATCACAACTATCTAGTTTTCCTATCAGAACTTGCTTTTGAGTCCCAGTGTCACATATTCAGGACGGTACACGATGATGCTTGACAAAAGATCCCCATATCGTATGGAACCCCTTCCCGCCAAGCCTTCACATTCTATAGTATACACTAACGCCAACAAGAGGAGGGAAGCCTCTGGTACTATGCGCCCAGCCAAGGAGCACCCATTTCTTTTGCAATAATGTTCGCTGTCTCTGGAATGGTACACATTTACCAGTGTTGGTATGTATTCTCACACAAGTGCTATGCACCATGCAGTTCCTAACGATGATAACAGCCAATACAAGTCATGGAAAGTGACTGGACTCCTGCCCTGGTCTGCTCTTCTCTTCACAGCTGGGTTCATAACGCGTACTATCGGCGCCTTTGGACAGTGGGGGAATGTGGGTATCTACATTGCAAGCACCGTTCTCTTGCTGGCTGCACCGTGAGTGCTTGTTGATGCGAATTGACCATGAATGTCACTGACTAGCGTGCAGACCCGTCTATGAGGGCGCCAACTACTTCACTCTGGGCCGCATCCTTTACTACATCCCATATCATTCGCCAATTCATCCTGGGCGCGTTTTTACCACTTTTGTGGCGGTTGGTGTGGTGATCGAAGCTATCACCGGCAATGGGGCTGCGCTAGTTGCCAATTCCGAGGCGACTGAGGGTAAAAGGAAGACGGGAGAGGGACTGCTCAAAGCAGCTCTGATCTTGCAACTTGTGTTGATGGCAGTATTTGTGGCCTTGGCTGCCAGATTCCACTACAACTGTTCTCGTGGCGGCGTCTTGAACCACAAGATCAAGCGGGCCTTGTACGTGCTGTATTGCAGTTGTACCCTCATCACTGTGCGCACGATCTATCGGACAGTGGAATATTTCAGCGCTGCGAGCCTCAATGTCTATAGTGGCAACCAGATCAGCCCGATTCTCAAGGATGAATGGTTTTTCTGGGTTTTTGAGGCTGTTGTCATGTACCTCAACACCATCTTGCTGAATGTCTGCCATCCGATGCAATGGCTTCCACGCTCCAACAAGATATATCTCGCCACGGATGGCGTTACCGAAATCGAAGGGCCTGGTTACGACGATCACCGACCAGTCATCCTGACCCTTATTGATCCCTTCGACATAGTTGGCCTGATCAAGAACAAAGGTAGACAAGAGAAGTATTGGGAAGCCGGGCCAGTCAGCAAACTTAACAAGGATACGCCTGGATCGTTTGCCGTGTAGCTGAGAGCGGGTTGGAATATATGTACTTAGTTATCCTTGAGCCAGGTCTGAGTGTGACGGCGTTTCGGTTATATAGTATAGAATATTTGTCGTGATTATGATGTTTATAGAATATTTCTTATTCAGCTCTGTTGAAGTATCACATTTCCATCTGAATGATCCGTAACAGTAAGTAAAGTAAGTGGAAGGAAGGGAATCGACGCTGACGTCTTCCACTGCGACCAGCCGATCCTCCGCCCCGCCTGACCCGCCCCGCTAATCAATTGCCAAAGAGCTTCGGGGTTTCCCGACCAGCGCAGCTCCCTCTTCCATCTGCACTTGCTCCGCCACGATTCATTTGTCCTGTCACTAATAGTCAGCTTTAGAGGGATTTAGGACACATTAACTCTACAGTTGGTGTTTGGGTTTCTTCACGTCTCGCAACAACCCCTCTCCGCCGCCGTCTTGACTGTGTCCCCTTAACATCCTACCCCGCTCTCCTTTCCACACCGACAAACACTCCAAGGTTCTAAGGCAAACATATACACATCATGGGAAGCCAAAAACGGATAGCTAAGGTGAGTAGAACTGATACTCTCCCCTTCGTAATCTGCGCCACACCCTCCGGATTGGAAAACAAGAGTACAATTGACTAACAAATGACTCACAGGAGCTCGCCGAGCTTGTCGAATCTCCCCCGGAGGGCATCGTGGTAAAGCTGGCCGACGAATCCAACCTTTACGCATGGAACGTATACATGGACGGACCTGAGGGATCTCCTTACCAGGTGAGACTTTCCTACCTGTCTCCGACCCTAAACGAAATAATGAACCCTCACTAACACGCAACTCTGTCGTACGTAGAACGGCAAATTCCAACTTAATCTGTCCCTCCCCACCGAATACCCCTTCAAACCCCCTACCGTCTCCTTCAAAACGAAGATCTACCATCCCAATGTGACCAACGATGACAAGGGAAGCATGTGCCTGGGCATGCTTCGGGCCGACGAATGGAAGCCTAGTTCCAAGATTTTGGCAGTGCTGCAGTTCGCGCGTCAGTTGCTCGCAGAACCGATGCCCGATGATGCCGTCGAGGGACGGATCGCAGAGCAGTTTAAAAATGACCACAATCGGTACGAGGAGGTTGCGAAGGAGTGGACACGCAAGTATGCCACTCTTTAGTGAGATGATGACTGCTACTGCTACCGCTGGTGCTTGCGGGCCGGTACAGCAGGTAGACAGATACTTTCGGGGGAGCCTGCGTGTTGAGAGTGATACAAGATGACGGGAGATATACACTGAAGAGGGACTAAAAAGACATGAATGTTTCGGCTTGGCTAGATATATACGATATGAACATGTTTGAGCATCACGACTGCATGGGATGAATTATTGTTAGCATTGTTTGCTTGTGGAATAAAGGACATGAAATCATAATAGATACTATATGCATTTGGTGAGACTATTATATATGGGCGCTTACACCTTATCGGCATCTTTAGCACTTCCGGGTGAATCTAATGCAAAGCCAACTCTGCATATGCTGGTGTATCCCCCTTACTCTCTCGACACTGACTTCCCCGCAGACCGCAGATTAATGCAATCTTAATACCCTATAACACGTGTATAACCCAACCAATTCATCCCAAGACCTAGAAACCTCAATTATGATGAACAGCCCGCCCTCGGCAATCCATTCCAAGCAGCGGGACTCATTCCGCTCTTATGCGGGGATCCGAGTACCTAAATGGTATTACACCTACATCAGCTTACCATCACAACTCTCCCATTATCTGAGCATCAAATACTCAGAGCCACTCACTCATACTAGCACATCTCTCAAGCCATAATCATCACCATGGCCCTCCTCACCACCACACTCACCTACCTCTCCCAACACATCCCCTCCATCCTCTTCACCATCCTCATCATCCACCTCACACGAAACTACTTCACGCCCGGGTTATCGCGCATCCCAGGCCCGTTTTTCGCCAAGATTACCAATCTCTGGCGCTTCGTCGACGTAGCGCGGGGCAGAGCGGAGGCAACACATTATCAGCTGCACCAAAAACATGGCGAGTATGTGCGACTAGGACCGAATGTCGTTAGTGTTTGGAATGTGGAGGCGTTGAAGGTGATTTATGGGATTAAGAGGGGGTATAAGAAGGTATTATCGTTATTCTCCTATCTCCGAAACCCAGGCAGTACGTATTATGTTTGTTTTACCATGCTAACGAAGTTCATGTGTACATAGACCGCATTCTATCGTGTCCAGCAACAACTTGTAAAGGGAAAGCCGACCAGAACGCTGTTTACGACCCTTGATGAGGACCTTCATGCTAAGATTAAACGACCCGTGTCGGCGGCGTATTCAATGAGTACAGTTACCGAGTTCGAGCCGTTTGTGGATAGTACGACGCAGACGTTGTTTGCGCGGTTGGATGAGTTTTCGGAGAAGGGGTGTGTGTTTGATATTTCGACATGGCTCCAATACTGTAAGGCATATGCTTTTTGATCCCTAGGAGGAGGATGTAAGCTGATGCGGGTAGATGCGTTCGACGTCATTGGCGAGATGACGTTCAGCAAACAACTAGGGTTTTTGCGAGAAGGTCGCGATGTTGAGGGGATCATGGAATCGTTGGAGAAGATGTTCGATTATGCGGGAAAGGTGAGGTGCATGCGAACAGTCTGTGTCTCCTATTCTGACAGGTCATTCGTGCGTAGATTGGTCAGATGCCCTGGCTAGATTATGTCTTGATCAAGAACCCTCTCCGGCAGCTTATTCGGGGCGGTTCTACTGGAGCTGTTGCTCGTTTCGCCCGTGATCGCTTGCATGAACGGCTGTCTCAGGGTGGTAGTAAACGAGATGATATTCATGAACGCCAGAAGGACTTCTTGACCCGCTTCCTGGAGGCGAAATCAATTCACCCTGACGTGGTCGACGACGCCCAGGTGTTTTCCTATACAACCAGCAATGTGAATGCAGGCTCCGATACTACCGCAATCTCCCTCCGAGCGATTCTGTACTATACGTTGAAGAATCCCAGGGTATTCAGCAAGCTGCAGGACGAACTACATGGCGCCCTTCAGACCGGAAAAGTTACCGTTCCTGTATCGTGGAAACAAAGTCAGGAGCTCCCGTATCTCGACGCAGTCATCAAGGAGGCTCTCCGCCTCCATCCAGCCGTAGGACTCCTCTTGGAAAGGGTAGTCCCCGCAGAAGGCCTCCAATTGCCAAACGGCCCCTTCCTTCCCGCCGGAACTGTAGTTGGTGTCAATCCGTGGATTATCCACCGCCACGCTATTTTTGGCAAGGAAGTTGACAGGTTCGTCCCTGAGCGTTGGCTGCGGGGTAACGATGAATCGGAAGCAGAGTTTCAGATGCGAAGGCAGAATATGCTAGGGGCGACGCTGACGTTTGGGGCCGGCCCCCGAACCTGCATTGGGAAGAACATCAGTCTGTTGGAGATATATAAGCTGATACCATCGTTGCTCTTGGCATACAAGGTATGTGCACTGCCATTTTTGTTGCTTATCCTGGTAATTTGCGATCTCTGGTTAACGGGTGGCTGTTACAGATTGAATTGAGTGAGCCGGAAGCTGAGTGGGAGGTGGTCAATGCATGGTTCGTACGACAGAAAGGGATGAACGTGAAAGTGACGCGAGTGGCATAGCATGGAGTACACAGTAATCTGTCAGATGAAACTGCGAGGACAAATGACTTTTTGTCCGGGATAAGATCCTGCGCTGGATCCTGCATGCAAGGCGTTCTCAGGATGTCCGACGGTTAAGCCCACTGGTAATCTTAATAGAAGGGGAACTTGGCATCATCCCTTTTGGCTGCCACAAAGCGGCACTATGGTCAAAAGCCGAAATGAACAAGCAAGAGCAATCGAATGTACCGCCCTCTGAGACCCCGACTATCTACTATACTTCCTGTGCGAGAACACGTTCGTCATAGCCATGACGCGCAGGAGACCCACCAGCTGGTGGCATTATCCCAATAGGGACGCACTAGGAATTGCGGTGCTGATTTCCGATAAGGGATCATCAAGCGCATCCTTGGGCTCCGTCCGTATTAATAGAATCAACTTCGCTTTCGCACGTCGCTCCATATAAGGGCGAGGCGGCGGAGCTGAAGTGCATCGGATTACCGGGACAGCGCAATCTCTCAAAGGATGCTATCTAGCTTTAGAGTTTCTGACAGTCCAAATTTTGGTGAACTAAGTTAAGCCATGCATGCGAGACATCCACCCCGACGACTCATATCATAAGGATGAATCCCAATCTGCAGATGATAAGCGATACATCAGATATGACCCGAATGATTCGACAGTGGCCAATGGCACCAAAGCTGGTTGCCTTTCGGTAGTAGAGGATAAAGTGAAGCGATATTATCCATGGTGCCTTGAAGCATCAAACTTAATCAAATTGGGTTTAGGGAAAAGTTCCTGAAGCAGTAGGAAGTGGTGGGGCACGGCAGCATCACGGGACGATCGATCCCCGCTAGAATCATGTGACGGAGGGAAGGAACGCTTACTACGGAGTAGTTCTGCTCAAGCACACTAAGCGATGGCGTTTAATAATCATGGTGCTTGACTTTGGATTGGGGGAAGATCGGAAAGATAGCCATCCGGTCTTAGTTCGGAAGGGAAAACAAACATGGGTGGGCCTCAAACCAGAGAGCGCCAGAAGGGATAAAACAGTCTGTCGACGACAGACTATCAAAAAGGGCAAGCAGCTGTCGAGCGAATCGAACCTTGGCGCTTCGGCGGGTGGGACCCGACTAGGGGCAGCTGAAACCGACTCCGCCCGGTACGCCCGTATTGTGTCAAACCGGTTTTTCGCTTTCCGTACCAAGGAAGTTGCCCAACGCTCGTCGTCATGATGCCCACCACTGGGAACCACCTGCTGGGGTTATTTGGCAGTTGGTAAATGAGCATCTTCAACTGTTATGCCATCCAGACAACCTGTTTGGACGATCGCTCCTTCATCCAACGGTAGATATGCAATGCATCCAGCCGGTCTCCAGACGGGTCGGGGCGGACCCTCCCAACTGCGAGGGATGTGGTTGGCGCAGCGTGACACTGAGAGATGATGTCCAGCGTCTCCCCATACATAACGTCACCGCGGATGCAGCTTCTATGGAGAACCATGTACGTAGGAGTGACCTATCACGGTCGAAAAGTACTATGCAACAAGGCGACGGAATAGGCACCTCGTAGATGATAGACGGATGGATAGTTGATGAAACTGAGAACTCCGCGGACTGCGTGACTTCTTCGAGGTGTGCGAAAGATCGCCCCTGCAACCCTTGTGTAACCCGTCTCGAGGTGAAGAGAAACGCAAAGCCATTGTGAAGTCTACAGGATGCATTGGCGTACTTTTTCTACATGGCACCATAATCCCGAGGTCCTCCGCAAGTGCCTTGTCTGATTGCACTAGATATGAAAAGAATCATCAACCTCAAACGCCGTTGGTGAGACTGATCTCATCCTGGCGTCAGACTGAAACCCATCGTGTACCAAGGTAAAAAAACAAACCAGTTGTAAGAAGAATACGGTACCTGAAATTAGCTGTGAAATTAGCACGGCAAGACTTTTAGCTTACCGGACAGGGTCCGTAATAAGCGGATGGATTTTAATTTTCAACTTCACGACTTCGCTGGAAATCGTACGCGCTAGACTCGATCGAGGCCCGCAGCGATTTTCCCCTTTTCCCTTTCGGCTCTCGCTTTTTATTCTTCGTCGTCGTCGTCCTTCTCCTCTTTTTCTGACTCTTCTCTCGCTCTTGTTTCGTCGTGAGATGAAGTCTCGGATTGACCCTCTGGCAGGTTCGTGAGACTTGGTTGATGGACTGCTGCATCGCGCGCTGCCGGGGCGACTATTAACTTGGCCTGCACATTTCTTTTCCATCCGCTCGTTTCACTTCGCGCCTGACGGGGCAGCTCGACCGCTTGACCGGTCTCTTCACTCGTTCACCACTGCCCTGCAGTCTTACTCTACGCGCTTAACTTTCTCGTTTCTTTTTCCTCCTCTTCAACTCGCCTCCCCTTGCCTCTTAACCCATCCTTATCAACTATCGCCATCCGCCCCCCTGAAATCAGTCCTCGACTGCGTCTTTCCATTCTACACTCACCAACCAATGTCCAGCGGGAACTGGGATCTATCATCTCGTGGCCATGGTCACAGGAAATGGAGACTTTCGATATCCGCCCCTTGCAGGCGCGCATGATATCCCCAGCCGACGCAGGATCCCGAACCCTCCCCGCCTAGATCCGTTGAGACTCAATCCTCCCTTTCCACGCCCCTCGACCGCCGACGGCGTTCGCCCTCCCCCTTCTCAGCGCCCTCCCGTGCCTTCCCCGCGACTGCACCCTGCAAAGGCGGCTGCTGCTGATCCATCATGGCGCTCCCCATCGCCTCAACCCAGAGATGACGACTATTTCGTCCCCCGCACGCCCGCCCTCCGTACGCCAACATACCCGGTGTCACCCAATCCTCGGCCGGGATATCCTCCGAGAGAGATTGAATTCGATCGCCCACCGCCCCGGAAGCTTCCGCCAGGCGCGCCAGGGTTGCGCATTTCCATGTCTACCTCCAAATTGCACAGTCGACGCCAGCGACCTCCTCGGTCACGAGAACGGTATCCAGATGATGCGTATGGGTTGGCATTGCCTCGCGTCGTGCCTCCGGGGAGCTATGCAGACACACATGGAGAGGATGCACTGCGATCTAGTGTTAACTCGGCCATGACGTCGCGATCCAGCATCGAGCAAGCCAGCGGAACTGAGCGCAGTAGTGTTCTCACAAAGAGTAGCTCGATTACCGACTTGTCTCCTGACACGCCCGATGGACCATGCGAAAAAGATGGGGGCATGAGTGTGGAGGATGCCATTTCCATGTACCTCGACGGATTTAGCGATGTCACGGAAGAACCTGGATCACCAGATATATACGACGATGAGAAAGTAAGGCCATGGAGTCCATGTCCGCCCACGGAATATACGCTCGATGATGGCCATACTTCCGATGAGCATTCGCCCGATCTGGATCCCACTGAGGATCTTCCGCCTGTACCACCGCTCCCTGAGCTGAGTGCCCCTGTACGAGGGCCACTAAGCGATCGCCATGAGGAAGAGGAAGTCCCACATGAAGAGCCAACCGTTGAAGCACCATTAAAATCACCCGGCGTCGAGCGTCAAGAAAGAAAGGTCGTGCTGCCCGGAGTGGTGCCTCCGCCCCTGCTTTTGGGAACGGACTCGCGCGATCGCTACGGGTTCCGAAAGGCTACCCATCATGTGACCCTGGCCCAGTACGAGGCGTGGAGCAGCTCATACTCCGATTTTGCCGCGAACCAGCGAATCAAGTGGGTGGAACTGCTCCGCCAGAATCGGCTGCCGATCACAGATCCGATCTCCTTCCCGCCAAAATCAAACAAAGTCAAAAAGTTTGTGCGCAAGGGTATTCCGTCGGAGTATCGAGGAGCCGCCTGGTTCTTCTACGCTGGCGGCTATGAGCACCTGAACCGGAATCCTGGGCTCTACGAGCAGCTTGTCCGGCAGGCCATGGATTCCCCGAGCAACGACGACAAAGAACACATTGAACGCGATTTACATCGAACGTTTCCGGATAACATCCACTTTAAACCCGAATCGGTCGAACAATACGGAGGCACCAGCGCTGGCGCTGGAAGCAGCAACCCGAAACATGAGTCCGTCACGGTTGAGACAGAGATGATCCAGTCGCTTCGCCGCGTGCTATATGCATTCGCAGTGCACAACCCCCAGATCGGGTATACGCAGTCGCTGAACTTTATCACGGGACTGCTACTCCTGTTCATGCCGGAAGAAAAGGCGTTCTGGATGCTGCACATCATCAGCTCGGTGTATCTCCCTAGCACGCACGAGATCAGCCTGGAGGGCGCTAATATCGACCTGTGGATTCTCATGGTGCTGCTCAAGGAGACGTCGCCGCATGTATACAACAAGATCGCTGGCGGGCTCGGTGGCGGCTCGCGGGCGCCCGCACTGACGGTGACGTCGCGGCTGCCGGACATCACGTTGGGGCTGACGAACTGGCTGATGTCGGTGTTCATCGGGACGTTGCCCCTGGAGACGACACTGCGGGTGTGGGATGTATTCTTCTATGAAGGATCCAAGACGTTCTTCCGCGTGTCACTGGCTATCTTCAAGTCGTGCGAGCGAGAGATCATGGCGGTGTCAGATCCAATGGAGGTGTTTCAGGTGGTGCAGACAGTGCCGAAGAAGCTGCTGGACGCCAATACGCTGATGGACGACTGTTTTGTGCGACGACACCGCGTTGGACAAGGCCGCATCGACGAGCTGCGCGCGGCGCGACGGGCAGCAGTTCGCCACGAGAACATGCGGCGGTCGCGGGCGTGGAACAAAGGCCAGATCCAGGCAGCGACGGACGAGTGGCCAGGACGATCGCGAACACCCATCCCAGGCATCGAGCGCAAGATCGGGGATTCGTGGCGACACATGCGGAACCATGCATTTCGGTAGGAGCTGAGGAGTGATGGATGGCTTTTATTGATACCCCCAAAGCAGCTTTATTGTATTTCAACCGGTCAGTCCACCGTTTACCTGGTCCGGACTATCTATTTGTACTCTGCGACCTCTTAATCTTAATAGACTCGCGGGTTTCAGGGCGCAGGCCGGAGGGACTGACGACATGCCTGACGATGTTACATGTACATACTGCATATTAGCTTAGATATATGAGTGGCATTGATTCACATTTATATTTCCTCTTTCCTATTATTTACACTACGAATCTAGAGTGACGTTAGGGGAGAGGAATTAAGTTTGGGGATCCGTGGGAAGCCAACACAGCGGCCGGTCGATCCCGCCTCGATGACGCGCTCGAGCTGCAGTGTAACCTATGCTGCCCGGTTGCGACTTGCACTTTCACTCCAGATAATGATGTGTTTTTCACCTCTGATTCTCTCCTCTTCTGCATCCAACAGCACGCAGTCATGAGTGGCCAGGCATCCAGCTATTACAACACCAACCAGAGCTTTGGCGATCAGCCTCAGCCGCCGCCGCAGCAACAACAACAACAATATGCGTACTACAACTACGACCAAGCTCCCCAGCCAGCACCAAACCAACACAATGGTGGTGATTATCGAGGACCTGAACCGAAACCTCCTCAGGGACCTCCTCAGGGGCCCCCGCCAACCTACAACCAAGCTGTGTATGGGTTTGATGAAGCTTTCCAAGTCGAACGGCCCAAGTACAATGACATCTGGGCGGGACTCTTGGTAGGTATCCCTGTGTTTCCACATATGAAAGGTCAATACTAAACCTCTGGCAGTTCATTGCCGTCTTCCTCGGCTACGTTGCAGTGTCTGGCGTGACCATCCATCGCTATGCGAAATACAAAGGCTTCAGCGGCGGCGGCATCTACGATGCGAGCAACGACTTCTCCCTCAACACAAACACTCTCGTGCTCTTCATATTCGTCCTCTGTGTGGCCCTCGCCTTCTCATATGCCTACTTTCTCGGTGCGCGATACTTCTCCAAGCTCTTCATCTGGGTCACGGGCATCTTGAACATCGTCTTCGCTCTCGCCACTGGCATCTACTACATCGTTCGGGGGCAATACGGCGGTGGCATAGTCTTCCTCATTTTCGGCGTCTTCGCCATCGTCTGCTTCATCAGCTGGATCCCCCGCATCCCGTTCACAGCCTACATGATGGAGGTCTCCATCGACGTCTCGCGCCAATACGGCCATATGTTCCTGGTCAGCACCATCGGTGGCCTAGTCGCCGTCGCCTTCGCCGCCTGGTTCTCCGTCACGCTCGTCTCGATCTACGTTGCCTACGAGCCCGACAGCACCGGCGTCAACCCGGCCTGCCCCAATGGCTCCGGCGGCTGCAGCACCGCCCGAGTCATCGGCCTAGTCGTCTACGTCACCTTCGCCATGTACTGGTTCAGCGAATGGCTCAAGAACACCGTACACACCACCATCGCCGGCGTCTACGGCTCCTGGTACTTCTTCGCCAACTCGCCGCAGGGCATGCCACACGGTGCCACGCGCGGCGCCTTCCGTCGCGCCACCACCTACTCCTTCGGCAGCATCAGCTTCGGTTCGCTCATCCTCGCCTTGATTCAAATGCTCCGGCAGGCGTGCTCCATCGCGCAGCAGCAGGAAGCTTCCCAGGGCAGTCTCATCGGTAGCATTGGGTTCTGGGTCCTGGGCTGTTTCATCTCCTTGCTCGATTGGCTCGTCACGTTCTTCAATCGCTACGCGTTCTGCCATATCGCCCTGTACGGGAAAGCATATATCCCCTCTGCCAAGGATACGTGGAAAATGATGAAGGACCGTGGCGTGGACGCCCTGGTTAATGATTGTCTGGTGGGTCCGGTGTTGACGATGGGGTCCGTGTTCGTCTCGTATGTGTGCGCGCTGCTGGCGTATTTGTATCTCCAGTTCACGAACCCTGGGTATAATCAGGGCGGGGATTTCACGGCAGTCATTATGGCATTTGCGTTTGTGATTGGGTTGCAGATTTGTCAGATCTTTATGACGCCTGTGAGTAGTGGCATTGAAACTATCTTTGCTGCTATGGCGTGGGATCCGCAGGTTTTGGTGCATGATCATTCCGAGATGTATTATCGGTTGGTGCAGTTGTATCCGAAGGTGCAGCAGGCCATCCATGCTTGATAGATACCATTATAGTTACCAGATGAGTATTGTTAACAGTATCAGATTCGATTCAGATATAATGACAGACTACAGTAAACTACACTAATCATACTACATATCATACTCATGACATAAAACCATTCTTCCCCTCCCCTATCCCCAACAAGGATAGAATATTATAGAAGGATCAAAGAACCAAAACCACAACCCCCACAACCCCCATCCCAACCGCCATCAACACTCCCCCAATCCCTCCACTCCTCAAACTACTCGCACTCCCCTCAAACAACGCCCCAGTACCATCACTACCATTAGTCCCTCCAATCCGACTCGCATCAACCCCACTAGGCATCGACATCACCACCGACGACGACGACACCACCGCACCAGATGTCTCTGCCGCCTGCGTCCCAAACAACCTCGCTGAGGTGCCGGTAGCAGTCGCACTCTCCATCCTCAACTCCGATGCATGCGCATCGCCAGTAGCAGTTGGATGCTCACACGCACAGTCTGTCACTGTCTCCGTGTAGAACTTGTATACTACATTCGGGTTGGTTGCGTCCGTCATGTGCACGCCGTGGTGCTCGGTTATGGTGGCGGGTGCGTCTTGTCGCGCTTCTTCGGTTTTAGTCTCCGTCTTGGTTTTGGTGGTTGCTTCGATGCGGTCTTCGTCATCTGATGATGAGTCTTGGTCTTGAGTGGTGGTGGTGGTTGTGTCGGTGTCTGTTGTGGGTGAGTCGGGGGATGGTTCGGTGTTAGGGTCAGGGGAGGGTGGTGCGTATGCGCGCTTCGAGGCCTTCTTGTCGTTCTGGTTCTGGTTGATGGAGTGTTTGGATGAGGATATGTTGCCATTGCCATTGCCGTTGCCATTGCCGTTGCCGTTTCCATTACCATTGCCAATGCCATTTCCATTGCTATCCGAGCCCGAGTTGGAGCTGGTTGTATCAACCCGCATCATAGGACTACTTCCCTTTCGAGCGTCGATGGGGACGTCGGTGTCGCTGCATACGTAGTCGGGGATGTTATGTAGTGCTATCGTTATCCCTCATCAGCACGGTCCTCCTTTTCTGGTATAGAACAATAGAGGGGGTAATGATAACGGGTTACGTACAAACACCTTCACTGGCACAACTCTCCAAAGTATCACGATCCAGTGAGGACGGATCAAATGGGGCGTTGCAGAAGCAGTCTAGTGCTGAAGGGGAGGTGCATTCTGCGCTGCGGGGGTAGGTTTCTGCGATGGAGGACTGCTCTCGTTTGTTAGTCCATTCATTTATTGATCTATTCCAGTAGTTTGGTTTGGTTTCTTGTATGTAAATGGGTAGGGGACACGAACAGCACATTGCAAATAACCCAAGTCGCCGTTGGTAGTGGTGGATGTAGCTGCAGCGAGGGAGAGGGTTGATAAGACGAGGAGGGTATGCATCTTGATTTCTTATTTCTTTTCTTGGTGTTGAGTTTGTCGTTGATTGTTGGGATAGGTGATTTGAGGGAGAAATGAGGTGCTGTGTCTCATACTCTATATATATCTAAGACACCACTAGTGATAGAGTATTAATTATCAAGTAGTATAAGGGTGGCAACATCCCTTGAATTCCAGTCCTGAGGCAATGATATCGGGATTATTGTGTCGATGATCGATGGAGTGGCGGAAGGTTTTGTGTGGAATGTGAGCTGGGTATGTATGAATGTATCATGTTGATTTGCTACACGGTACTGGAGGGAAGAGGTATGTTTCGATTACTCAGGTTTGTTGGTTCGTGTTGTTATTATTTACTTCATATATGTTGTATGATTTTGATTTGAAGGGGAGAAGTCTGGGATTGGGATTATAGGTTGTTGTTAAGGCTGCGAACATCGTTGGTAGTCAATGATAAACAATGCCAATTTGGATAATTTGTTGACTCTTAAGAGTTGACACGCGAAAATAACAGATCTGACGGGATATTGTCCGAAGCTATTCTGCGTGTCATGCATCTGTTCGAATTAACTTTCTGCTAAAACCTGACGGGGGCTGGTAGTGGAATTCTTATCATGAATTGGCTCTTGACTTCATCTACAAAATCCCTGCGAGTATCGTGACATCAAGGAATGCAACCATATCAAACCACAGGGTATAGTCCATATCATCCTCATCAGTCCTTACAAAGTATGATTATCAGTGGCACAACACCGAGTCAGGTTCACCACCATCCAAGCAATCCCCTTGACAACCATTGTAATTCCGTGCACTACCACATTGTACCCCCAGAACAACACCCGCAAGCATCCCTGGGTAATCCGCGGAAGCTCCTCTCCCTCCTGTGGACCTCCTTGGTATCGCCCGTACTTGTCCATGTCGAACTCCTCCACTACGATTGTCCGGTTCATCGGCCCCTTGGACTTGCGGCTCCAGAACTGGTGCCGCTTTCGATCATCAGAGTTAGACTGCGATTTTACCTTCAACCACAGCTGACTACCTTCTTTAGCATCTTCCCGCTCTGCTAGGGTAGTGATCATCTCTTTAGGGCTTGACAACGGGGATCTTGAAGTCCCCTGGTCATACAGCTTGAGTCCCTCAAGAACAGGTCTCGTAGACTCGTCAGACACCGCCACAGTCAGTAGCGCAGAAACGAGACAGTCAACAGCATATAACGACGGGATCGTCGCAACTATGGACCCCGTAGCTAACGACAAGGTCATGGTCCTCAGATCCAACGACGCCAAAGGCTCATCGGCATCTGTCAGTGGGAGCGTCGATGTGCGAGGCGTAGCCGCCATGGCACCCGTCTCAACGGCATTGGCTGGCAGAGGGGTAGTAACCAAAATGGTGGGTGGTTGGCTGAATTCTCCCTCCTTAGATAGACTAGAAACTGTAATGTGTAGGACCCCCGAATATTTCGAACGTACTGGCGACAGAGGAATGCCAGCAGCACCAACCAGCGCGGGAGGCTGCTTGCACAACGCGGGGTGGTGAAGTTCGTACACTCGTTTCGATTGGTTCCATAACAACTTGCAGGATTCCTGAGCTGCTACTCGTTTGAGTGCTTCTCCTTCTGCTTTGGTCGCCTCCGTGGGTGAGAGACGAAGCTCTCCCGCCACTTCTGCAGCTTGGTCTATGGCTAGGATGCCTGCGAGTCGTGGAAATAGGATCGATATTAGTCCGTCGTAGGGAGGTTGGCGACGAGATTTGTCTTCTAGTTTTAGGTTCATTACAGGGACGCTGCTATCATGTTTGGAGGGGTGTTTTCGGATAATTGATATGTCACTTTTTGAATTGGTTTGCAGTGTATAGAACGGTGATTTTGGGTCTCCGAATGAAAGTATATTGGCGTCGATCCTGTAGGGGTCAGATATGCCGTAATAAGGTGAAGGGAATGTACTCACCGTTCAAGACACAGGTTAAAAGTCCCGGGAAGGCTCTGTGGGCGTTGACCGTTGGCAATTTCCCATAGACTCTGCAGCTCTTCCTGCGTGGAATATCTCTCCACTGGATCAAGAACCCCAACCGGAAAGTTAAGCACACTTGCGGGAACTGTCTTAGGCCCAAGGGCGCGATCTATCTCTGGGGGTGGTGTCTCCGACTCAGATCTAGGCAAATCCCAGTGACCATTAAATGAAGGGTCGGGGTAGTAGTGCTGTTGGTTCATCGGAAGGTCGAAGTTATATCGAGGGAACGTCGACTTCATTGGTACCACCGGTGCTGCAGCAGGTGAGCTGTTCTGGGGCGAAGATCTGACCGAGTGTGAAGGGGAGCCAACTCTCTCTGTCGGCCGCTTGTGGCGGTCATGTCGCAGAGGAGACTTAGATGTTTCACGCTCTCGTATTGTCTCTGGGATGGATACTGGGTTCGACCTGGACATGGCCTTTGGCGGCGATTTGATTCTAGTATGGGTATCCTCGATAAGTTTAAAGATGACAGCTTCCGTAGGACTGCTCTTGTCACGTATCTCCTCCATGGGTCTCATATCTGTAGGTGTCTTCATAGTTGGCTTTCTCGGTACTCTTGGCAGTTCCTGCGATGGTCTGCTATCCGAGGGTGATGGGAAGAGTTGAAATTGATTCATGGTGATGGACTTGCTCAGTCGTCACCTTAAAAAGATCAGACTTTCGTCCTTGGAGTCGTATCTAGTATCTCAATTTGTAAGAGAAAAGAAATGTCAAAATTGCTTCTGTTTAGCCTTGGAACATAGATGATACACTGTGTATATATAAGCTCACCTGGGTAAACGCCCACTCACCAACATCATGTCCAGCTGGCCAGGCACGGGCCCCGATCTATCCATACTAGTATCGAGTAGTCAAAGCACACATCGACGGCGGCAAGGGTCCGAACAAGAGAGGCTGCAGTAGCGTGAGGAATATGTATCGTAGTGGGAGAAACTTGATTGCCCGGGTCGGCGCTTAGCCTCGACATCTCGCTGGATCGGACTGCGGGCACGATGTGGCTGGACTCAGCCCGGCGCTTCGAACCATCCCAATGATCATGATTCGGCATAGGGAAGCGCTGGAGCTAACAATCAGTGACTGTGAGTGGTCCATGGTCGCGGGGTATGGTGACGAAAGGTGATGGGCTCTATCTCTGTACTGTTTACTCGAAACACCACCTATCGGTGAAGCATAGTCGGTTACCGAAAAGGGAACAGATCCGACGATATAGAGATAGCAGGGTAACTGACTCCCATAGACCTCACAATTACTTTGAGTAGAATTGAACCTGTTATTTTCATTGGCCATATTATACACATACTGGCACGCAACTAATATACATGGCACAGTCTATCATACAGTCTAATCGCTCATACTACATAGCCTCATCATGAACTCGGAACGTCAGACCCTCCGCCATAGCAATCGCTCCTTCCATATTGCCCTTGTTGTACAAGAACAAGCCCTGCAGAGCAGCAGCGCTGGTGCTCTTCGTCCGATCAGCCTTGAAGCCGTTCTCGTCCTCGATCAGCCCTAATTCCTGTAGCCGATCGAGGAAGACCTGTCGGTTGGCACCACTCGGGTCAAGCTCTCCGTAGAACCGGTCCCAGAGGCAGCCGACTTGATAGCGAGTCACTTCGCCCAGACGCACCGTCATGTCCACGCGACCCGGTCGGACTAGCGCCTCGTCAAGCCGTTCAACGTGGTTGGTGGTGAGGAAGATAATGCGTTCCTCGGCGCTTGCAACGCCATCGAGAGCATTCAGAAGACCCGAAAATGTGACATTGGCTCCGCGATACCCGTCCTCGTCCGTTTGAGTCCGGCGATTCGAGAACGCGGCGTCTACATCTTCGAGTAAGACTAGGGTTCGGTTCGGGACAATCGTTAGAAGATGATTCAGCCGATCATCGGTCAGTCCCCGCTCGCTGAGGTTCAAGATGGCAATGTCATAGTCCAATTCACCCGCCAAGGCTTGGATGAACGAACTCTTACCCGTTCCCGGAGGCCCGTAGAGGAGATAACCACGGCGGTAGGGAATACCCCGGTCGTGATACCATTTGCCACTGCCCACAAAGTCCTGCACATCTTCCACAATTCGCTCCTTGACTCCTTCGTCGAGAACCACCGAATCCAATGGACGCTTTCGCCGCGGCTGTCCGAAAAGCTTCCATTCAGTACCCCAACTGTTATAAATGGATGTCTTGCCTTCGTGAGATTTGGCCGCATACGCGTGCGCTTCCGTGAAGAGGTCTTCGAAGACATGTCGATGCGAATAAAGCGTGGTCAGAGTGATGGTCTCCCACGGCCGGCCCGTGTGTAGGTCCTGGGACTTGGACTCTCGCATCCGGTTGACGAAGATGAACGCATTCTTGTAGCGCAAAACATGCCTTCCGGGTCCAGGCACCAGCGCGAAATGTGTATGTATCGCTCCATTGCTGTGCTCGACTTTCTGTGTTTGGATTGAGAGGTGGCGCATCCCGGGGGTCAGCCTCTGTAGTATGGACTCCATGAAACCAGACCTGCTGGCAGCGGAGCGGGCCGAATTAAGCTGCGATTGTTGGTATAGGGTCATCCAGTGAAGGAACCACGGGTAGGAGTCGTCTTTGATGCTGATTTCGACGTCGACAAGCATGCGCCGCCGGAGGAGAGCGGCGCCATGGCGGAAGCCTTTCTGTGCGAGACCGACTCCTGCCCCCAAACCGGCAAGTCCAAATCCCTATGAATGCAACTTCCTGTCAGCGATTGGGATTTGCAGCAGACATAGCTGTAACACCTTGAGGAACTTACTGCGGTGAAAAAAGGATTGTTGGTTAGCTGGGAGAGAAGCCCTCCGTCGCCTGTAGGCTGCCCCGCTGCTTGGATGGCATCTTTCCGTTGCTGGGCAATCAGATCGCCAGGCGAAGGCAGCCCTGGGGTACTTGATGGTCCATTGGGGTCCATGCCAACAGAAGAACAATCATACACCGCCACCTACAGTTGTCTGATGCCTCGAGCACATCCGCAACGTTCTTGTCGGGGAGTCGGAGTTAAGACGGGCCGAGATTCACGCTGGGTTTCACGGGCATCGGAGATGGAGAAGCCGGGCTGCGGTGCTAAGATCCCTAAAAGGGATGACATTGGCTGCGTTGTCCACGCATTCTGGTCGAAGGAAATCGAATTTGGCATCTTAGCACATTAGGCATTCGTAGAGCTACGTACATAGTCTAACTCTCAGATGCTTTCATGGACCACAACACAATACGAGATGGGGCAGAACAACGGGATGTCATCACTCCGAGTCGGAGATAACGGGCTTTACACCGGCATCGCCGTTCCTCATTTTTATTCACCAAACAGGGGACTGCGTTGCTTTTAAAGTCTAATATGGGCTAAAGCATACTGGGCTGTATTATTCTTTGAGATCTACGGCGGGAAGTATCCATTTACCTTCATTGTCAAGGCAGCCGCCACCAAGCATCGTATAAAACCTTCCCCGCCCTCGAATCTTGAGACAATGCGAACATTCCTGCGAGGCTTCTTTTGTTTCCGACAGCACAGTGCTCCTGCACCTAGATTGTCATCGCCCCAGAGACGCAACATGGTCAAAGCTACTTCCGCTGCTTCAACGTCGGCGGCCCTTTACTCTCTGGCCGTTGTCCTCTCCCCGGCTTCCGAGGGACCTGAGGATGTCAAGGAGAAAGCCCACCATCTCAAAAATGGCTTTCAAAACCCCTGGGAGTATGCCACTCTGTAGTTATCAGAAGCCTTTATAGTATCGTGTTACTAATGCACCTCTGAAGCTCATGGAAATCGCCGTCAGTGGGTGACGCTCTTCACATGTGGGGGTAAGTTGCAAGACTTTCCTTGCTTTTACTATGCAAGCCTGACACTGCACTTTGAAGAGGAATCATAACGGGGAAAATCAAATTCCCGGATGTCACGCCTCCTACTGTACCTGTTCAGCAGCCCAAGTTTCTGCCAGATCGAGAAACCTCTAGTCTACGGGCGACATGGCTTGGCCATGCTTGTTACTACGTCGAATTCCCCAATGGCCTACGAGTACTGTTCGACCCCGTATTTGAGGACCGTTGCTCTCCCTTCTCATTCATGGGCCCAAAGCGCTACACTGAGATGCCATGCCGCATCGAGGACATCCCATTCATTGATGCGGTTGTAATATCCCACAACCATTACGATCATCTTTCTCATCCAACCGTCAAGGAAATCTCGCGGCTCCATCCCAATTGCCACTTCTTTGCACCCCTGGGCAATAAAGCATGGTTCAGCAGCATCGGGATCGACAAAATGACTGAATTGGATTGGTGGGAAGAGCGAGACATTGTTCTTTCACCCTCGCATGAACCAGTCACGGAGGCCGGTGCTGCCGGCGAAGGCCAGAATTCAAATCGATCTGATATCACGGCTCGCATCAGCTGCTTGCCTTCGCAGCATACAAGCAATCGAGGTGTGTTTGATCGATCAAAGACCCTGTGGGCGTCGTGGGGCATCGAAGCTGGAGGTCGGAAGTTGTGGTTTGCAGGGTATGTATAATCTCCGAGGAGATGCCTTCGAGTAATCTAACCAAGAACGTCATACAGAGACACAGGATATCGGCATGTGCCAGAGCTTCCTGCTGGCGCCGATGACCATGCTCCGGAGTACAATTTCCCCTCATGTCCCGCATTTAAACAAATTGGTCGATTCCGGGGGCCTTTCGACCTCGGTTTGATCCCGATTGGCGCCTACTCACCCAGATGGTTCATGAGCCCTATGCATGCAGACCCTGATGATGCAGTACAAATTTTCCGGGATACCAACTGCAAGAGAGCCATGGCTATTCACTGGGGAACTTGGGTTTTGACAGATGAAGATGTCCTTGAACCGCCCAAGAAATTAAAGGAAGCACTCACTAAGTATGGGTTTCCAGAGGTTGGGGCGTTTGACGTTTGTGACATCGGCGAAAGCCGGGAATTCTAAGGGTCATGTGCGCCTGGGAAAGTTTGGGGTACTTATTCTACTTACTTTAATATTGCTGTACGATACCTGCACGTTGATCATTGTGCGCGCACCGGATAGACGCTCACAACTCTATAATCCATACAAATCTCTCTTCCCCTCACCGTCTTTTTTTTGTACATGTGATGAGTCTTTGGATCAACCCTCCGACATAGTCAATGCTCCTATGGAGTGCAAGGCTTCAAAAAGAGGCTCTGACCCATGTGATGGCACGGGCCTATTTACGGAGCGTGCCAGTAAATGACCCTGCACCAGCAACGCGTTCAAGGTGCATACGGCGTTTCCCTTATTCCATTACCAGTCCTGGCAAACAAATATGCTCGTACCCCAAGTCCAGCTGACCAATTGCAGCTGTTCTTTTAAAAGCTACTGGATGGAATGACCCGTTTAGCAGTAAAGGTGACATAGAAATGATCCGCTTCCAATAACTGAATTGACATCAATAGGAGCTACATTCGTCTCAATTTTGCTGGATGACTCAAGGTTTCATCAGCTCGATCGCCTATGACTGCCTTCCTAAATTCATCTATCACGTCCATATATTTTTGGCCCCATCTCACCAGCTGCTCAGCCTCTCATTCCCCCGATCAAAACCCCATCACCAGCGCGTGCTCTCACCACGTCAGCAAATAACTAGAACCATGGCTACTATAATTCAGCAAAGTCCACAAGAAGCCAGCTGTTTCTGGCGAAGCAGCTCAGACACCTGGACGAGCAATCATGTATGGGAACCACAAGAGCGCAGACACTCCATGGACGACGAAGAGGAAGTACTCTACGAACTCGACGAAGTCGCCCTAGCACAACTACCACTGCATCTCCAACACAACATGCGTCAACTACAGCTAGAACGAATACGCAAACTACTGCACGACCGGGACCCGGATTCTGCGCTTTCCCCCAGACCTGTACACCCAAATCCCTACGCGCAAACGTGGTTCAAGAACATGATGGCGCGGCTTTCAGCAGACCAAGAAATGAATGAAGTCCACGAATGGCGCCAGTCGGTACACCTTGACGGCGATCCAGACGATACTACCTGGCGTTTAGTTCCACGGCAGTGGACTGGCAACAGACAGCACCATGATCGGAGAACCTGGCACTTCGATCATGCAACTTCGGGTGAAGATAGTTTCAACGCTTATTCGATTGGAAGCACACGTGTATGCAGTCTGCATGGACTGGGGGTTAATGAGTTTGGATTCCGCCTGTCCGAGACTGGTTCACATGGTAGCAGAGACCAGAAGCAGGAGGGCAGAAAGGTCTCTTCAAAGCCTCGGAAGAGAAATTTGTCTCTTATTACGCATATGCGGGCTCATGTGCGTTTTCGGGTACGCAAGAGTGTTCAGAAGCTGAGTAAGCTCCTGAAGAAGTGATTTGCTCTTCAACGTTGGGTTCGTGTCGTTTAAATCATACGAACATTTGGGGAAATGGGGGAAAAGTTTGGGTTTGTTTCTTTAGGAGTTTGGCGATACGGGGCAAAGGGCATACCTGGATGGCGGGCGTTATGAAGCATCTGTGCAAGATGAGCTGTTGCTTGTGATTAGTATTTATTACCCTCCAAGACGTAAAGCAAGAAAGGGTGCGAACTATTCGATTCCATGGCATGCGATGATGCTCCGTAGATAGATCAGGGGGAAAAGGATAGCACTAGACCTAAAGAAGAATGGTGGCGGTGAGCTCTTCTTGTCCGCAATCCCACTTCGAGGTGCGCTGGAAATTTGATGGGGACGGCGGGCAACAAAACAACTCCAGTTCCCCTCCACGAGAAAAAGGCCCCTATCTCTGACCGCTTGTCGATCGGCTCCGGAGTTTACTCCATCTTTTCCTAGGGACCGTTTGATTCTCTCTCTTCCTTCTCCGACGCAAGTCAACGAACCACCGCCATCATGCAAGCACCGGTGGTGGTGATGAGTATGTCCAATCGAGGGGAACTTTCCGGGGCTTGGCTTCTGATTGCTAACATTGTTCTTTAGACACCAATGCTGGTGAGAGACAGGTTGGTCGTAAAGCCCAGCTGTCTAATATCGCTGCTGCGAAGACGTACGTGATTGATCCCCTCCCACTCTTCCCCGCTCCCGGCACTTCTAACACGGGGCCTGTCAATACAGTGTCGCGGATATTATCCGGTCATGTCTGGGACCTAAGGCTATGCTGAAGATGCTTCTCGACCCCATGGGCGGTATTGTTTTGACGAACGATGGACACGCTATCCTGAGAGAAATCGAGGTGTCGCACCCCGCTGCGAAGAGCATGATCGAGTTGAGTCGGACCCAGGACGAGGAGGTTGGTGATGGAACAACGACTGTTATTATTCTGGGTATGTGCTGGGTGATTCGTGCTTATCGCACGCTGGGCTTGAAATTTCTTCCGTGATGAATGAACTCGCTAACTGGTATTAGCTGGTGAGATGCTCGCTCAGGCCCTCCCCCAGCTCGAACGCAACATTCACCCCGTGGTCATCATCTCGGCTTTTAAGCGTGCTCTGGCCGACGCCCTTGCCATTGTGGAGGAAGTTTCGATACCCGTGGATATTGATGACGACAAGGCTATGTACACCCTCATTCAGTCGTCCATCGGCACGAAGTTCGTTTCCCGGTGGTCGGAGCTCATGTGCGGCCTCGCCCTGAAGGCTGTCCGGACCGTGTCTTTCGATGCTGGCGGTGGAAAGCGGGAGGTCGACATCAAGCGGTACGCTCGTGTTGAGAAGATCCCCGGTGGTCAGATTGAGGACAGTGAGGTTATCGACGGTGTCATGGTCAACAAGGACATCACCCACCCCAAGATGCGGAGGAGGATAGAGAACCCCCGCGTTCTGCTTCTCGACTGCCCGTTGGAATACAAGAAGGGTGAATCGCAGACGAACATCGAAATTACCAAGGAGGATGACTGGAACCGTATCCTGCAGATTGAGGAGGAACAGGTTAAGGCCATGTGTGATGCTATCATCGCCCTCAAGCCTGACGTTGTCATCACGGAGAAGGGTGTTTCAGGTATGAAATCATTTGCTGTCTCGCAGGCATTCGCCTTTCTGACCACTCCCTAGACCTTGCCCAGCACTACTTGGTGAAGGCCAACATCACAGCCCTCCGCCGTGTGAGAAAGACGGACAACAACCGTATCGCCAGAGCCACGGGTGCGACCATCGTGAACCGTGTCGACGACCTCCAGGAGTCCGACATTGGAACTCAGTGCGGACTTTTCGAGATCGAGAAGATTGGCGACGAGTACTTCACCTTCCTCAGAAAGTGCCAGAACCCCAAGGCTTGCACTATCCTTCTCCGCGGCCCGTCCAAGGACATCATCAACGAGATCGAGCGGAACCTTCAGGACGCTATGGCCGTTGCCCGGAACGTCATCTTCCACCCCCGTCTTTCCCCCGGTGGTGGTGCCATTGAGATGGCTGTGTCTGTCAGATTGAGCCAGTTGGCCAAGTCTATTGAGGGTGTCCAGCAATGGCCGTACAAGGCTGTTGCCGATGCCATGGAGGTCATCCCGAGAACGTTGGCACAGAACGCCGGTGCCAGTCCTATCCGTGTCCTCACCCGCATGAGGGCCAAGCACGTTGAGGGCCATACCACGTGGGGTCTGGACGGTGACTCCGGTGCCTTGGTGGACATGAAGGAGTACGGCGTCTGGGAGCCTGAGGCGGTCAAGCTTCAGAGCATCAAGACCGCTGTCGAGGTGAGCACAAGCATATCCTGCCCTGTTTCCACTCAAACTGACTGTATCTCTAGTCCGCATGCTTGCTCCTCCGTGTCGACGATATCTGCAGTGGCAAGTCTGCTCAGCAGGCCGGTGCCGGTCTCGGTGTCGGTGGTGGAGATGATTAAATCAATTAAGACGAACCGAAATAAAACCGCGTACATAATGCTGCACGATTACCATTTGGACTTCTTGTATGAATATCCTAGACCAAAAATTACAATGGGTATCTTCATATCGTACACTCCCTAGCCTTCTTCGTATGCCCGTTTCCCCAGCAGCCCGTGTATATGTCCGTCTTCCCTATTCAGTCATCATGGATAATCACCCCTGGCACCTCAGTAACCTCCTCAGGACCATCCCCGTTCTCAATTACATCCTTCTTATCCCCATCAGCACCATCCACCACCTTCTTCCCCGTCTCATCAACAGCCATCTTATCCCCGCCATTCGTCGCACCACTGCCACCCTTCTTCCCCTTTTTGGCATTCCGCTTCTCCCTCTTCTTCCGATTCTTCTCCGTCTTCTCTTCATCCTTCCTCCGCGCTTCCTCCCGCTTCTGCTCCCACTCCTTATCCTCCTTCTCCTTGTCGACCTCGCTCTGCATCAGCCGCTGGCGCTCGTACTCCCTCCGCCGACTCGCCTTGTAGACATGGAATTCTCCCGACCCCGCACCAGCAGAGGAACCCTGGACGTTGGCGACAATCTCTGGCGGCGGGGGAAGCGATGTCGAGGTCCGTTGCTTGGAGGGGTCCGGAAGTTTGATTTCTTTTGTGGGATCGCGGAAGAGAGACTCGATTTGTGTTGCGTGTTCATCGTGCGCTGTCACGGCGCGGCGTTTGGTGGGACGTTTGCTGCGCGGGTCTGCGCTGGTAGGGATTGATTCGGGGCCGGGTTCGGACATTTTGATAAGGGGTGTTTAAGCCGTTTTGGAGTGTGTGAGAGTAGATTGACTGCACACTCCTATGCGAGGTTGTTGGGCTTGGTTTTATTTCAAAGTAGTGGCTGGTGTGAGAGCGTCTGTAGGTTTGTATAAGTAGGTGCAGAATGAGGAGCCAGTAGTAGTTTAGCTGAAGATTAGCGGCCTGAAAACTGGGCGGTGAGACGCGCCGTTGGGGTTGCTCTTATCGATCGATTGGCCGAGATTGGATCGCAGTCGGCAGGTTCCATCAGCATAACGCCGATTACTTCCCCAGTCGGGAACTCAGATGTATACAACTTGGGGAAGTGAGGAGTAGCCTGCTGGCTCACCAAACTTAGTCATAAGGAGACTATATCGCTCCGAGGTCTTGAAAACTACATTCAAGTGGTTGTTAGCCTCTCGGATGGTCTAATATTGTACAAAGTTGAAGTAATCATGAATCAATCGGCCTCTGCATCAGGCCGTGGCACATGACAGGCACTGGCTGTGCTTTTTCCTACTGTTATCATCCTCCGGGACCTCCCACCTCCCCCTCATACGTCCTTTTCTTTCCTTTGGCCAGTATCCTGTGCTCCAATTGATATTCAGCGTATATTTGTCTGTGTGAGTGCGTACCTTCAAAGCTCGCCTAGTGCTGCGTACTTTCCCATCATATCTCACTCCCTACTTCTTACCCCGCCAACATGGATACGAGTGGCGTCCCCAACGCCCCGAATACGGGGACCTCACGTACTTTCAAGGTGAGCAATGACCCGGTGTGAGCTGTGCCGACATCATTATCAGCCTGGACATCCTAATGATTACTAGTTTGATCTCGATGACACTTGTTGCTTGAAATCAAATCCATCTTTAACAGGTATTGTTGTAGTATGGCTCCCGTTGATAGCATCAGTGAATCTCGCTTCGCTAACATACACGGCTAGAGAACATATCTTGATGTACGTTTTCCTACGACCGATAAATACAAGAACGATGACTCAAATAGACTGACATGGCAATCCCAGGTGAATCCATCTGGGCCGCCAGAAGATTACTTGGTGGTATCCTATACCTCGGTGCCACAAGACGTTCTGACCGATTTCTTACAAACCGGTGTGGTAAGTTATCAGGTCCCATTAGCCAGAAATAATGTTCACTAAACTCCCTTTCTCCTGTATAGCCGCGCAAAGGATATGTTTTTGTTGAGTTTGACTGGTTTTCGCAAGGATATTCTCTCATTCATGAGGACGACCTTGAACTACTTGACCGGTACATCGACTTCGGTAGTCATGTCAAAAGGAATTCGGACGACACATTATATGGCACGGTCATCAATGCATCTGCTACATGCACCCTCGAGCCAATTGCGTATCGTAACTATGACGACTCGTTAGGCGAATATGGCTCCGTCGAGTTCAACGAATGGCTCATGCCTCGCAGCCGCACAAGACCCGAGGCCGGATCCTCTCGTCCTCTGCCACTGCATAATGTACCTTTATCTGAGCTCATGCACCACCAGCAGTTCAGAGAAGATGACTTGATTATTTATCGCCAGAAACTGGGAGTCATCCGGCAAGTTGATCGTGATGCTATTCTGCGCGTTTCCAACGTGCCGGTCTCGCTTGTCGATCCCAATGCTCTGGAGGTTCCTTGCATCTTTGATGACAAAGAACTTATATGGATGCCTACGGGCCAGCCGTGTAGAATTGTCGATGCCAATTTACAATACCTGGAGCATGACTTCGTGATTCCGGGTCAGTATGTGTGTACGAAATACAAAAATATGCGCGGGATAAACGGGGGTGTAGTCCCAAAGGAAGATATCTGTTCTTTTGGCCATGGCCAGGTCCTGTCCACGCCAGCTACGGAGTATAAAGTTGAATGGCTCTGTACGAATGTGTTCGGCCTTGGAACACTTGAGATCTCGGATAAAATAGAAACTCTCAGAGCACCTGTCTTGGAACGCGATGCCGTGAAATGCGATTTTGGAAACCTCCCAACTGGGGGAACAGTAAAATCTGATGTTCGTCTTCACATCGGTGAGATGGTACGCTTTCGAGATCCGAAAAGTGCTTTTCAGAAATATCTTTACCAACATATTCCTCTCGGAGAGACCTTTGGTTGCGATCTGAACATCTTCCAAATTACATCAAAAAAGACGGCACTGACTGTCAAGTGGTCGGACGGGAGTGTCACAACCGAAGATATTAAGTCTCTTTGTGCGAGTACCGGAATTGATGAAAACATTTGGCCTGGGAGTATTGTCGTCCTAAAGGATGGGATTGAGATCATCGATCTGCCCGCATCAGAACGCATACCTGCATATATCAAACAGCTGCCTAAGCATAGGAGACACGGGGGATCAACAATCCGAGCGAGAATTGTGGGTATCGTCCAGGCTGTTGACATCCGGGAGCAAATAGCTACCGTTCAGTGGTATAAAGATCCCGATGTCGTACTTTTGCATGGTGGGCAAATCCTAGCCTACCCCTACTCCTCTCTGGGCGAGCTGAGTGATACAGTCAGCCAAGTATCTCTATATGAGCTTGACGTGTTTCCTTGTCTGGAGAGATTACATGGTGACATCGTTCTTCTCGCCCCAGACACCATCCATGAATCGGCTTTGATGAAAGGAAAATTAAATACATATAATGTCGCCGGTCCTTGCACCTATAGCTACACGTCGTCGTTGTCACTTTCGCAGGTACATGCATACCTCGACGCTATGAGTATTTCCATGTTGGATGCGGAATGGTTCAAAAGTACGACTACAATTGACACTACCCCTCTTCCTCCAAGACATAGTTACCACTACCAGCGTAAGCTCAATAAAAAGCCCACTGCAGATTTCGTCGGACAGATTATTGCGATTGAGACCAATGGAGATATCACTGTTCGGTTGGCTGCTACGGGTGCTTGTCGCGACATCCGCGTCCCATTTGAAAAGATTATGATGGTCATTAACGTAGGATTTTCCAGCTCAGCCGGGATCCCAGCTCCAGGTGATTTATCGACCATGTCAATGAACACGGCATACGAGGATGAAGAAGGGAGTTCAATTGGCGACGAGGATGAGTGGGAGACAGACGAGCCTGACGAAATCCCAGACACTAACACTGCAAATGACTATATTGTTCCCGAATCTACAGAGGCCGATTGTTTCACGGAGGCAGACATTGACACGGGGAATGGTGACTCTCACCTTGAAATGAGAGAGAATTCGGATGATGTAGCTGAGCAGAGCGAGGAAATGACTTTACCTCCAGAGTTCCTCATATTGGAAGGCGTCCCTCCCTCCGACCACCATTTCATCTCGAAACACGAGGCCAGGGGCTCGGTCTTACGCACCAGGTGTATTCAGAAGGAACTTGACATACTCAGTGAATCTCTTCCTCCCGGGATCTTTGTGCGAGCATGGGAATCAAGGATGGACCTTCTCAGGGTTTTGTTCATTGGGCCAGAGGGGACCCCGTACGAATATGCACCGATTGTGCTAGACCTGCACTTGCCTGGGGACTTTCCTAAAAAGCCTCCCGAAGCATTCTTTCACTCGTGGATTAGTGGTCAAGGAAGGATCAATCCGAACCTCTATGAAGATGGTAAAATCTGCCTGAGCATTTTAGGGACATGGCCCACTCAAAATCCGGAGGAAACATGGTCAGCAACCAAGTCCACTGTTCTACAGGTCTTAGTCTCGATTATGGGGCTGGTCTTGGTGAAAGCCCCTTTCTATAGTAAGTCAGCATTATGGGCAATGTGTATAACTCCGGTATCAAAGGCTGACTGTTTACCAGATGAGGCCGGTTATGAAGCCCTTGCCGCGGAGGGCGACCGGCAAGTCGAGTCAAACAAGTACACCGAAAGGACGTTCTTGACTACACGCAGATATATCAAATATGCCCTCGATCACCCAGTGAGCGGCATGGAGGACATTGTGACCTGGAATTATCTGCCCAGTCGCGTAAGGTCAATTGATTGCGACAGGCCCCTACTGCTCCGTCGCGCTATCGATGCGGCATTGGCGATGATAGATCATTACGACAATTCTAGCAATGGAGAGGAGCGCAGAGCCTCGGCCTTTGTCTCGCGTCTTAGCCTTGGGGCCGTGGTTATGCTACGAAAGTATATCACGGAGCTTGAGGTTTTGGAAGTAGCCGCGGCTGTCTAACAATAACCTTGATGTTGGATGAATCTGTTGCAAATAATTATCAGGCCCTGATCTTGTTATTGACTGATCATAAGAGACCATCCACTTTTGTTAATGATATCTACGATACATTGGTTTATCTTGCGGAATGGAGTTTTGGGCAGTGGATAAGTGGGAGACGTTGTAATAGTTGGGTGAGAGTCACTCGGATCTATGCTACAAATATGCACTACTTGGTAATCGTTTGAAGTTTTGATTATGAGTAGTATCTCTGAATATTTGCTGATGCAGTAGAACAGTATCCTGGACTGGAACTCCGCTAAGAAGGACTGAACTATAGCTATTTATCCACAAATCAGGCGCTTAAACGAGTATGACGGCATCAACTGAGCAAAGAAATATAAATTCATTGGACCTAAAGATATATTTATTATGAGATTCTTGAATAGCAGCTTAGCAACAATCGAACAGAAAATACTCTGTGGGAGACGAGCAGAAGGAGTGGCAGTAGAAACAGAAAGCAAAAGCAGCACTGCGGCATTGGTCTTTGGCGTGTTCCGTTGGCAGCAGCGCCAGGCCTTCGCTCATCTTTCGCTCTGTCCTGTCCTCCCTCCCTCTTCTTTCTCCCCTCGCTCTTCTTTATTTGACCCCATTTCTTTTCCATCTTCCCCTTCTCTTCATTTCCATCTTTTCTGTGTTGCTTCTTTCTCGTTGGGTCGGTGGAGTCCCAAGGTTACAAATACACCCTTCGAACCCGGGCGCGATCGCACCCATAAATCTTGGTTCCCTCTCAGCACGCAAGTTTAAGTTTCCCGCACGCAGTATCACCATCCTCTGTGCTGCCCGTGTTGCTGTTAAAATATGGGTGCCTATCGTCTCGGTAAGTTATTCTTTTCGCTCACAGTTCTGCTTGCCTTCTTTCAAGATGAGTTTCTCGCCGTTTCGCTTTTGAACGTTGGTTTCACTGTTTGCTTTTCCCATGGCTTTGTTGTCAACTTGCTTTACTAGGATGGGGATGCGTTTGTTGTCCAGCAGTGACTGCCAACTGTCATATTGAGCCAAATCTTGAATAAATTTTAATTTTGCTTGCCCCAAGCCTGCCGTTTTGATTTGCATGATATTTTCAATCGAATTTACACATCTTGCTCAAATCTAACCATCTACACAGAGCAAGCCTCAACCGGCCGCGCCGGTTGCAAAAACAAAGAATGTAAAGACCAGGGCATCAAGATCCTCAAGGGCGAGTTGCGTCATGGCTCTTGGGTTGATACCGAACGGTTTCAGAGCTACTTCTGGCGTCACTGGTAAGTCTAGTAGATGAGAATTAGGACGAAAGAAGCGCCCTGCTAATGCCTTAGACAGGGGCTGTGTCACCCCCAAGATCATTGCTAATATGATCGAAACGGTCGGTGAAGAAGGCGAGAGAGACTGGTCAGCCTTGGATGGCTATGACGAACTCCCTGAAGATTTGCAGGAGAAGGTTCGCAGAGCATTGTTGCAGGGCCATGTTGATGATGAAGACTGGAAGGGGGTAAGTTTTTAGAATCAGTTTCATATTTAATTTCAACTTTTCTGTCTGTAAGAAGTCTGACTTTTGTCTCAGGATGTCGAATTAAATCGGCCTGGAAAGACGGGATTCCGGAAGCGTGTGACCAAGAAGGACAAGGTATGTTCTTCCGCTCCAAGAATCTAGCTCTATCGATGCTAATCTGCCCAGGACGAAACCCCAGAGGAGTCCACTCCAAAGAAGGCCACTCCTCAGAGTAAGAAACGCGCTCGCGCTGAGCCCAAGGAGGAATCCGGCTCTGAAGCTGAGGAAGAAGACACCAAGGAAAAGCCTAAGGCTAAAAAGGCCACTCCCCAGACCAAGAAGCGCGCTCGTGCGGAGCCTAAGAAAGAAGCCGAGTCTGAGGCTGAAGAAGAGGTTACTAAAGAGACGCCTAAGACCAAGAAGGCCGCTCCCCAGACCAAGAAGCGTACCAAAGCTGGAGCCGAAGCCGAAGCTGATGAAGCTAAAGACACGCCCAAGACTAAGAAGCCCAGAAAGAACAGTGCTGCCTCCAAGCAAGCACCTGTCGAGGATGACGAGTCCGATGCTCCTCTGGTCGAAACGAACAAGAAGGCGGCCGCCACCAAGGGTAAGCGGGGCAAAGCTGCTGCTGCTGCTCCTGCTGCTGAGGAGCCCGCCACTACTCGTCCCAAAAGGGGCAGACCCGCGGCAAAGAAGAAGCAAGCCCCCGTTGCTGACGATGAGGGTGAAGCTGAGCCTGAAGCTGAGCCTGAGCCTGCCGAGAAACCAAAGCGGACATACAAGAAGAGAAAGTCTACCTAAGAAATTGGTGCGGTCCTGGAATTCAGGCATTAGTGAGCTGGTCATGTAGAAGAAGGTATGAAGGGGAGTGCTTTGTTTCGGTCTATTCTATCATTCATCTTTCCTTTCATATGTCTTGTCTTCTAATTGTCATTTTCTCCTGCTATGTGCTACCTGTGATATTGATATCGGCGTCAATACTGTGCATTTCAACACTGTCACTACATTAAGACTGTCCTATGTTGTTCCTGCTGGCGTGAGCGTGACTATTCTGTGTGTACATGCATGCTGTGCTGGTATATCCAGTCTCATATTTCTATTGTCATGTATCTTGTCCAGCGGTTCTTGTATCTAATCAGTCATGTCATGGTTATGTTATGCGTTTGATAGGCTGTAATATTATCACTATTGCTGGGGCAGGCATTTCATACCTGGCTTGACTCACTATTGACAGTAGATCATGAAACTATCAGTCGATAGAGACAATGACGGCCAAGATGTCCAAATTGGAAAACCAGTCTTCGTAGCGCACGCACAGAATCAGATTTATAGCATCCACGCAGGGGGCTGACGAGCACATAGCCGAACACTATCATATCTGGATTCCTCTCTCTAAAATTGAGAGTGGCAACAGCCAAAATATAGTATATTATAGTATCATCTTCATCTGAAAACCATGTTCATCAAGTGGACGTATACGTCTGAGTACTACTAATAAGTAGTACTATCATATGTGTAGAATCTTATACGGGCGGCTTTTGGCTTATCCTTATTACTTATAAGAGCGATGACAAATCTCTGCTACAACTCGACCACATGTGTAGCACGTGTCATAGTAATTACTAGCTAGCTGTAGAAGAACTCAGTATAATAAGTCCCCATCAATTGAAAAGACTACAACTATTATTTCTCTTGCTGGAAGCTGAATATCTAATACTACGTAGTTAACAAGTTATAAGCAGCAGAATGATACTTACGACTACATTCAAAATAACTTATCTTGTGTCAATGAACCTCAAAGTCTAGAGAACGGAGCTGATTGACCAATACATCCAATCCCCGAAGGAGGGCTGACCAGGCAGCACAACAGTCTCCAACCAAGTAATAAAGGCCCAAAACATAAAGCGTTTACCTAGCAAAATTTTTGCATACACAACATCTGAATGATCATAATCATCAACCCTCACTACTACTCAGTTGTTGCATACTTCTGACTATTCACAAAGCGACCCGCAGCACATTACCCAAACAGGTAACGCGTGAGGCCTCACAAATGGATACCTCCACTCACTCGCTCACCCTCTCGCTCACTACTTTGTTTACCCGCCCCTTTCCTACTGTAGAACCGTAGATCCCCTTCCCCTCCCAAATAATGAAACCACTTTCCAAATTCCTTCAATACATAACCCATCTGGCATCAACAACATCAACAACAATAACAACACAAACCCAAAACGCACCATTCCAACTCCTCTCCCTTCCAGTCGAACTCCGTCTCCTGATCTACGCGCACGTCTTCTCCCTACCCCCCATCATAGTAACTGCCTCGCGCAGTAAACTCTTCCTTATTACATCCTCATCCTCATTATCTCCAGGTGGCAAAGGAAATGATGATCGAGATCGAATTGAATATAGATACACTTACACCCGTGTCCCCGCGGGCTCAATTGCCATCTCCCTGCTTTATACAAGCAAGCAAATCTACCTAGAAGCCCTTCCAGTGCTATACGACAGGGTGATCTTCACGCATGATCTTGCGGAGTTGTTTCTGCTGAGTCTGCTGGGCAGGATGTCCGATTACGCACGTGACCATGTGCGGTGTGTGCGGCTTCAGCCAAGACAGATGGTTTGGGCGGGGAGAGCGCCTGCGACGAGGGAACGGTTGGCGTGGATGCAGCTGTGCGCGAGGATTGCGGAATTGAAGGGGTTGAGGAAGGTGGAGGTGTGTTGTCCGAGGAAGGAGGTGCGGTGTGATGAGGTGGTGGCGATGGAGAGGATTGGGGTGGCTTTGAGGGTGGTGAAGGTGAGAAAGGAGGTGGTTGTGGAAGGGGTGGAGAGTTGGAGAGATGAGTGGGTGGAGAGGCTGGAGGAGTTTTTGGAGGCAGATTGTAGTATTACTAGTATTATGTAGATAATGACGTTGGTTCATTTTGGTGATAGAAGCAAGCAGGTAAGCAAGCCATGATGTTTCGTGTTGGTCTTAGCTTGGTATATATTGTGATGGTTTAGATAGTGTTTCCTCCTCGCTCCTGCAGGAACTTGTAGTATCTCGGGGCACATTTCCTCCGCCATTTCTTGCCCCAGATGTAGACGGCCATTCCGGCTGCTAGTGAGATGATCACGCAGATCCCGTAGAAGAGGAAGAGCCAGCCGGGGCCGGTGGCTTCGTAGAACGGTTGTGTGGTCTCGGAGATGATGAAGTTGATGATGGAGCTGCAGATGGCGAGAATCACGACAATCTCACCCCCAACACCGGGGAAACATTCCATGGCATAGGCGGTTGCCTGTTGGAACTGTTAGTTTTGATCTGTCAAAAGGGCCAACTAACATACTGTTGATGTTGCAGCTACCTGCTGAGCAATCATCGCTCCAATTCCCACAGTGATTGTCATCCAGTGGGCACCTTCCTGGGCACCCCAGCCATAAAGCTCATATCCCACCGCCGAATAGATGAAGCAAGGCGTCAGAGCCCAGAGACGCATCTCAGGCTCCTTAACACCGTCATTGCGACGAGCGAGGTAGATGACAATCTTATCACCCATCACACTAGTAAGGTAGCCAATGATGCTGCCAACCAGAGCAGACAGATAGGCAAGGCCGGTCTGGCCGTCAGTGAAGCTGTACGGCGCGCCAGTAAGAATCTCGGAGATGGTCTTATTGGTAACGATGCCAGAGGTGCAGCCAAAGGCGAAGATAATACCAGCCTAGACAATGTATTAGTAACTGTTGCAAAGCCTTATCTTTGGGATAGGTGACAGTACAATAATGATGTTAGGGAAAGCCAGCAGGAAGAATGGTCGCATGAAGTAAGACCAATATGTGGTTTTATCTTGCGGGTAATATACCCAGAGTCTCAATTTCTCTTTGAACGTCCGTTTGGGGAATTCAGACGGCGCTGGAATTGTATCACTGGCTGATCCCTCGTTCACACTCGCATTATCGATTGTGGCGGGATCCTTCTTGTCCAGAGAGGCGGTTTCGGTCGCATCAATCGGGCTCTTTGCCTTGGTCTCGGCCGTAGGCAAGCTCTGCGAAGGGTTGAAGAGAAAACGGGGAAACAATGTCTCCTCATACGTGAAGAAGAAGATAATGATCAACACCGCTTCTCCAATGGAGACCACCCACTGAGCCCAGCGCCAGCCCGGTCCGTCAGCAATATATCCACCTGAGACCAGACCAATGATAGAACCTAGCTGCTGAGCAAAGATGTAGAAACCCAGCATGCGACCGCGCTGATGGTCAAAGAAGAGGTCAAATACTGCGAGCTGAATAACAGCTTCGTAGGCGGAGGTACCGAGACCATTGACGATATTGCATCCATACCATTCACCCGCAGTATGAAAAGCGCCCATCCAGATGGAGGAGCCAATGCAAAGGAGTAAGGTTGCGAGGAAACAAAAGCGACGACCAATCTTCATAGCCGCTGGAATCCAGAAGATATTCACCAGACCCAGCATGAGATAGTTCAATGCTCCACCACCGTTCATGATGGTCATGGTGGACCCAGTCATGTCCACGATTGTCGAGTAAGCATCTCCGGTGTTGTTCTCGGCAAATGAAAAGATACAGGCATATGCAGAGACAAGGAGAAGATGCCAGTATTTCTTGAAATCGGACCAATTGAGAGGATCGCCCTCACAGGCCGTGGGAGGGGGCAACAGGATAATATCGGAGCTGCCATGGGGAACGTTCTGGTCGTGTTGAAGATCGATCAGAAGCTCAGTGCCGGGAACGTCAAGGTCCCTGTCTTTGAAGATAGGCATGGTCAGGACAGCACCAGAGAAAGACTTGAAGCTCTGTTGATTGAGAGGTCTCCATCCCGACGGCTGCCTCTCTCTTTATAGGAGGAGGGGAAGGCATTAGAGGCATTGCAACGGTTTGCGACTATGACAATCTGGGGTTCGATAAGCTTCGGATGATATTAGCCAATGTTACCCCAGGTTTATAGCGATATCGCTATCGGGATAATTATCAAAGTGTGGAGGCAAAAGTAGAGGGCAGGCAAGAGGGGCGGCAGGTCCAAGCGAAGCAGTAAAGTTGGAGGATGGAGCTTAGTCGGACGCTAACCGGCTGCTAAACATCGCGACGCTTATGCTGGACTCACACCATTGTACCATGTCGCTATCAACTCCCAATGTGATTTGCTTACGCCTCGACCTTCCATTGCCTTGTGGCCAGGGTTGATATGAGATTAGCCGTCGATGGCAACTTGATAAGCTTGGCCTTCCCCTCCCATCTGCATCATTGCATTAGCAAACCGAAATCCTCCGTGGCCACACAATGCGCGCCGATCAGTCTTCAGAGCATCCATCACTCTCCATTTTCATTCGCATTAACTCCGCTTCCCCGATAGACGTACCCATGCTTCAAGCGCCCATCCTTATCATCGGAGCAGGCACCTGGGGAGCGTCCACTGCCCTTCATCTGGCCCGACGGGGTTATACCAATGTCACTGTCTTAGATGCGTATCATCAGCCCTCCGCCATTTCGGCGGGCAATGACGTGAACAAGATAGTCTCCTTCAGTGAGTGTGGAATACCCAAGGTGTACCTGGGATGTAGCTAACCGAAGCGAAGCGGACCCTCCCGCCGAGGACGACCCCAACTTCGTGAACAAGACGTTTTTTGCCGCACTCACTAGGGGCTTTCAGCACGACCCGGTGTTCAAGCCACATTTCCACAATGTTGGGAACATCACTTCAGCTTTCTCCCCGGGCGGTCTCAAGCATATTGGACGGCGGGACCGCGGAGGCGACGTAGTGGAGCTAAACGACCCGGAGGACTTCCGGAAGGCATTTCCCTCGGGTATTCTGACGGGTCCCCTGCCAGGCTGGAAAGGATATTGGAAGAAGACAGGTGCTGGGTGGGTGCATGCCCGGAATGCCCTCGTATCAGCCATCACCGAAGCCAAAAGGCTTGGAGTCACCTTCATCGGAGGCGACCCCGAAGGAAAAGTTGTCCGTTTACTATTTTCGTCCAAGACTGAACCCCGGGATATTGTCGGGGCCGAAACAGCAGATGGAAAGCAACACTTTGCTTCCAAGGTCATTCTAGCCGCCGGTGCAAATGCGGACCAGTTCCTCGATTTCAAGAAACAACTTCGGCCAACTGCCTGGACCCTGGCCCATATTCGCATGTCACCCGAGGAAGCCAAGGCATATCGTAACCTACCTGTCCTTTTCAACGCCGATCAGGGATTCTTCATTGAACCGGATGAAGAAAAGCACGAACTCAAGATATGTGACGAACATCCAGGATACTGCAACTGGATTGTCGGCCCAGATGGCGAACGACGAAGCGTCCCCTTTGCACGTCATCAGATCCCCGTTGAGTCGGCCGAGCGAATCCGCGGTCTCCTGAGAGCAACGATGCCTCAGTTGGCGGACAGACCTTTCTCATTCGCACGGATATGTTGGTGCGCTGATACGGTCGACCGAAACTTTCTCATCGATTATCATCCTGAACATCCATCCTTGCTTCTTGCAGTTGGGGCGTCCGGTCGTGGATTCGCCCATATTCCCTCGATCGGTGGATTTATTGCTGACCGGCTCGAAGGGAGGATGGACTCGAGGATTGCAGCTGCCGTTCGTTGGAGACCTGAGCAGGCTGTGAACCGAGATTGGGACGATACCCAAAATAGGTTCGGAGGGGAGTATAGGGTGATGGACTTTCAGAAAGTGAAGGAGTGGACTAATATCCAAGAGTCGTAGCCGGCATTAGGTAGGTTCCAAATGTGGAATCTGCATATGGCTGACACAAGGTGTTTTGTAGAGCTTAACATCCTCAGTCGCTCACTAATATACTCTAATGTATTTTCTGACTATGTTAGTGAATTGGAGAGTGTCAGATATACGATCAGCGTATTCAACATAGCACCTTCTCACGAGTTAGTAGGAAATGAGCTAACTCAACCATATAGTAGTACAAACAAGCACACTTCAGACCCTCCACATCTGCATACCTAATAGAAGAATTCATGGAAAATGATGTCTGCACTTGTAGATCTGCAGTACTTTCGAAGAGAAGAGTTGCAATAAGCAATGATCTGAACTGGACCCGAGCACTTGTAGATGCCTTAACGAACAGGAACCGACCAATGATCGGCGGTGCAGCCGATCTCTTCCCGATACAGACAGATCGTGGCGGTGCAAACTGTGGCACCAGCGGGGTGCCTTCACATGTGACCTATCTTCTGCGGTGATATCATCGCTTGACTTGCTCGGTGAGCTGTATTTCAACGGCTCTCGAGCTCAGAGTGGCCATGAATTGAAGAAAGAGCAGAATTTTCTACGTTGAACAGCTCCCAGCGTGTATATTTCACTTATATTGATCGTGCACCGGAACCGGTGGGTCTCGAAACCACTATATATCTGGGGTATGTTCACCGTCCTTTGTTCAGGCAGCCATATCGCAAAGTGAAGGAACGGCTCCTTTATCCGCATAGCTTGCTTTGTCGAACTTCACTAAATATAAGAGGACACATATAGGCTTTATAAAGCATTATCGACTAAGCGCGGAGCGGGATAGTTCGCCATGCAGCAATTCACCCAGTGGAAGAACTGGAGACGCCCGTCCCAACGTCAACCGCATGAACCCGTCTTGACAACAGAAGATGAGGCATTCCTACGAGATATTACCTCTGATCCGGCGAATCAAGGGCCGGTCTCGCCTACCACCGAACTTGATACCCATCTATCGCCCGTTTCTCCCGTACCCACAGATACAATCGATACTACCCAATCACCAGTGTCACCGGCAGAGGAGTTTGGAAAGGAGCTAGGGGAGGAAGAACGGAAGGCTAGAGAGAAGACAGAGCGCTCTCAGAGTGTTTCTCAAGGCTCTAAGGCCGAGGGTTCTACGCAGAAGAAGAGGCCATGGAGCTGGATTCGGAGGAAGAGTACGGTGGATAAGAAGGTAGCTACGACACCGCCGTTGTAGGTGTCTGCACACATAGCTAACTGTTCTTTGATAACTAGGGCAGCGAAGGCGCGAGTGAAGCAGCTCCCGCACCAAGTGCTTCAAACGATGCACAGCCCTCTGAAGCTAAAGAAGACGATGAAGCGAGACAAGAAGCAGAAGATATGACGGAAATCCTCGAGCGCCTCAATTTGGCGGCTGAAAACAACCGCGTATTCTCGATAAGTGACGAAACACGGGAACTCCTTCGTAAATTCACGTTGATCTTCAAGGACCTGGTCAACGGTGTTCCGACTGCGTATCATGATCTTGAGATGCTCCTCAAGAACGGCAACAAACAACTGCAAAGCACTTATTCACAACTCCCGAAGTTCCTCCAGGGCCTGATCGAGAAGCTTCCTGAAAAATGGACTGAGACACTGGCCCCTGAAGTTCTCGCTGCTGCCACTGAGAAGGCCAGTAAAAGTGGCATCAATGTGGACAATGTAGGCAAGGCTGCCGCCGCCGCCAACAAGATGGGACTTAAGGTTCCCAGCCTGAAAGAACTAGTAGGGAAGCCGGCAGCGCTTGTAGGGATGTTACGGTCCATCATGGCATTCTTACGGGCTAGATTCCCCGCAGTGTTGGGTATGAATGTACTCTGGTCAATGGCATTGTTTAGTACGTTGCGCCCCGATACGACTAGGATGAAATTGGAGTCACTAATATTCACTAGTTCTTTTGTTTGTTCTCTGGTATTGCCATAAACGGGGCCGCGAGGTCCGCCTCGAAAATGAGCGTCTTGTCACCGAAGAGGAGATTGGTAAATTGAATGACGAGTCACCTGAAGGGAAGATCCGCAATACTGAGACGTTGACGACCACGGCGCCCCGTGGAGCTTCTGCGGCGGAAATCCGTCAAGGGGTAAAGGAGGTACAACAAGCACGAGAGGCCGCCACAACTACGAATGATTCAAAGGATAAGGAAAATGAACCTAAGGAGGATATTTCTACCAGGCCAAAACGATCCAAGTCTATCCTTTCAATCTGGCCTAGGTCGGACCAGAAAGCGACACCGGCAGGACCGAAAATTGAACCCTACCCAGGTACATGAGCAGGACACTCTTATCGCTTTTGGAGGGGCGCAATTGCTTTCTAACTTAACGTCATTTTGATACCTTTTGTTCGTCTTTAACCCCAGGATCTACTTTTAAGAATCCCATGTCTTTCGGCCACTTGTCCTCTGAGACTGAATGAAAACATCACTTAGCCTACCTCAAACATCACGCGACCCATGGTTGAAGCGCGGACCGGGCAAGTTGTGGGCAGACCGGGTGGCAACATCCATCTCAGATACTTCATCATGTCCTCCAACCGGTCCCCTTCTGGAAGTTCTGCCGTCTAGCCGCCCTTTCCGGGCAAGGCTGCAACCCGCAGGAGCTTAGACCGCTGTGTAGTATACGGACGTAGATTCCACTCGAATCACCAGCAACCAAGTATCTCTCTAGTGGACAATAAAGTACCTCGCACAGCGTCATGGCACATAAATAGTATCTCAGCTGTGCTGGACGACGAGCTTTGCTTTGCTTTGCCAGAAAATCGACGAGACTGCGGGGTGCAGCCACCCAAGCCAATCAGACAGCCAAAAGTAGCCACGCATTGACCAATGGGGTCTGCAACGGGCGCCGATCGTTGAATAATCTGGCCCCACTCTGTATTCTGCTCGACGTGGACTAGCCGTATGCAATGGTATTACTGTTACCATACAATAGTGGGCAATGCAGCATCATCATTGAATATCCACTATCGCTCATTTCCCAATCTTGATAACGATAACTGGGTCAGGTCACTAGAATCTTGGAAGAATGGAATGGAAGGCCACGTTCCCCCCTCTTTTGCCCCTTAGTAGTGGATTAGGGAATATTGAATAGTTGACAATGGGGTTTTATGTATCACTGTTTCAATGTACATAAATCTGGATTGTGATGGAGCCACGAGGGATGATACTATGTGTAAGTATTGATGGAAAGAAAAATTTACTTACAGTAGGTCCCCCTCACCTGCTGCTGCTACTGCTGCTTATCAGCCCATTTCCCGCTGCACATTTCATCCACCTACATTAAGCAATATAACCAACTTTTATCAGTAGCCGCCAGCACTTCACATGTGGGCAGAAATCTTGCTTTAGTCGCACGAAGTTACTCCGCAAGCAACAACAATGAATATTAGCAGTAGTAGTAGTGAAACAAGTTGCTGGCTGGCTGGATGGCTGGCCGGCCCCGTACGTAGTCGTAGGGTGTTTCTCGATACATCCAACCGCCCAACCGGCTGACTTTCCAGCAGCCAGTTGTCCCTCTCCTTTACCGCTTGTTTTGAGCCAATTACAACATGCATGCATCATGTATGAATGCCAAAGGCATCGCTACTAGTCCCCCCCTCCCATCCATCATCCATGCCCGAGTATGTCCCTCTTTCTTAGGCCAACGAGGAAAAGGAACATGAGACTAATGTACCTGTCTCGAAGAAGTGGTGTGGTGCTTTGCATTCATACTAGATCATCATTGTCTTTTTCTCTGCGCTCAGGGACATGGGTGATTATTTGATCTTTGGTTATCCCAATGAATGATTTGTAGAGGGGCATAGTAGGAAAGTATGGTGTGAATTTTTTTTCTCCTCTTCTTGAAAGACAGCTGATTTCCTCACTGCTTAAATAAGTGAATATACTGAACAATAATCAACGCAAACGGACCAGCAATAGTAGCGCCTAGCTCACGGCTAACCGAGACAGCTTACCTACTACTTGCCTTGGATTTTATCGATAGTTGTACACAGTATTCTAGTAGTGCCCAGCCCAGTCCGTTCGGGATGATGCCGAAAATGTCACGGACCTCCTGGGATTATTGATGCGGTGGCTTTTTTCCTTTCCACTTTGATCTATTTTAGTCGATCCGGTCGGGAATTAGTACTATCACGTGCGTTGTTAGATCTCCAGAATATCTTCCTAAGTAATTAGTCACTTTCAATGAGTTATCTCTGTGAGATGAGTTGTTGTGTATACAGGACGGAAAACAGAGATACTGGAAATAGCCCATCTCTTGATTTGTGAAGGTGCAACGGCAATCTCGGAGAATTAGCCGCTGCGTTGTTGGTCTAATTGACGCTCGAGACCCCTATGTTGTGCTGTTCACTGAACTTACTATGCCTTGATCTTCTGGTGGATTTTTCGCCTGCTGCAACTTGATGCACCCGCCCAAGGCTGGAGGTCTAGGCTTGAGCCGCGGCTACCGAGGCTCTGTCGCATCTATCCGTGCGTCTGGATACCCATGCTGAAGGATCGGGATCCTGTGTCTTTGCGGTGTTTTGGGAGCAATTGATGGTTGCCGGTAAGGGTCCTGATGAGGAAGATTGTGGAAGTTCATTTAGGGGAAAGGGGATTGAGTTAACCGTGTTGATGTTCGGCGGCTATCTCACGTTTAACCTGCTAGCTGTAAGTATGACTGACAGCTGGCTTAGTTATCCGAACGGCTAGACGGTAGCCATATCTCAAAGAAAACATTCATTGTTGGTAATATATACTCTACGACAGACCAGTTTCGTAAAGTAAAGGGTCGCGAAAGATAGGAATCGATCAACGTGCCCATTGCAGTCTACTGTGAGCAGCAAGGAAGACCAGCGAGGCAGCATCTTTTCCTCCCCATGGACAGACTAGTCCATATCAGGTAAGGCATAGCCGCCAGTGCCGGGCTTGGCCAATCCGAGTGGTGGGATTGACCTCATCCGGTAAGGTGGCCCATCAGGGCCAGCCATCCGGGTCCATCCATGTCATCCTCCCTTACTCCCGACCTTCTGAGAGAGGAGTGCAGGCCATCCGGCAGCCAACTCGTGTTTCCTGCGTCTAGACGCACGCTTGATGAATCATACCTATGAGTGCAGTGCATTCGATGAATCATGGACCAGCTGATCTAGCGGAGACAGTGACGGCTATTATCAAGATGATGTGAGAAGATGTCACCGTGCAGAGGGCACGGTTCAGAAAGTTGTCCTCCCTTCCTTTAGCGGCAGGGAGTTTGGCTTGTAAGATTTGCTTATTCTCCCCTTTCTTACAGTATGGCCCGCTTTGCATGCCACGACTTTCGGAAAAAGAAGGCCCCTCATTCTTTATCAGAGCCTCGGGTGCGATCTGCGTTCTTGCCTGCATGCCTGTGATCTAACAGATTGCCTTTACTTACATACTGTGTAAGTAAAGTCTGTAGAATGTATGTCAGTGGTGGAACGGAGGGGGAATACGTAGGGATGCTGCATCGGTTCGCCATATGGTTATGTTTCAACCCTGGATAGATTCGATTTCATCTGGAGTTTCCAAACATAACGCTCGTCTGGAGGCGAATGAATGCCTCCAACTCAGAACAGTAGTGAGTCACCGATGCTCAATCCTCGGGTGACTCCGTCGCCAGCGTTGTTCATGATTTGTCCGGTGATTTAGTACTAGGCAGGCGGAACAGCGGGCCAAGTCATAGATGGCAAGCAGAAACTTAGTAGTGGGATTCCTTCCTAGCCACAAGGCGCCGTTCATTTTCCCATTTGCCGTCTCCGTCCCCATAATAGTATCCCTTTCTATGGCAAGATCCGTCGACGCCATCTGCAGTTTCAGGTACCCAACGAGAAAAGACTACCCAAGTGCTCTCAGGATTGTCTTCGTTCGACAATCGGGACGTGCCGGAGTGCATGCCGTAGCCCATTCCGAGACTGTATGCTATACATAGTCCATATGAAATGGAAATAATGCTAGATTTGTACTAAGTGAAAGGAGGTAAGAGCCAGACGGAGATTACTTCTTCTGTTGCCTCTTCGGACAGGGCGTGACTAAGTGGTACTAAACCGGTCATATCATTGTCGCCTTCTATTCGAGTCTGTTACAAGTCCCCCGCGAATGATTGGCTTCCACTGCAGAGACCAGCTGGGGTGGATTGCAGGCAAAAAAAGAATAAAAAAGGAAAAAAGAAAAAAGATGCGGTGAACACCCGCCCGCCAATGGGCGTCACTGTTTTTGTGGTTCCTGACCAATCATGACCCCGCAGACTGCGACCGGCCGAGGCGGGCTCCACCCTGACTGGAAAATTTGGCCCGCCCCAGGCAATCCAAGGCCGTTCCGTCCTGTAACCTGCTCGTCACGGTACGACGGCGTACGGATAGATGATCTTCTCCCCTGCTGTCTTTTCCCTCCTCCTTCCTCCCTCTATTCCACCCCTCATCTTCTTCTGCCACTCTCGGTCGCAGACTCTTCTCACAACACCTTCTATTCACATTCAAAAGACCCCTTATTCTCCTCTTTACTATCCAGATATCGTCAAGGGTTCCTCGCCAGGATGGCTTTCGCTGAGCTGTAGATTCCTCGCTGGGGGGCACGGCTGCCTTTTCCATGCTCCCCAGTCCAGCAGCTCCGAGTAATCTCCAATTGACTTGACGATTATCTGTTCCTCTTTCGACGCAACAATAGGCAAGCGTCGGAATTGCCCCTCAGTACACTTACAGGAGAAGCACTTTTGACGTCCCTTTCTGGACGGTGAGGTGCTTTTGCGGTCTACGAAAAGTCTTTGCTATCGTCCCTTTTTCTTGCCCTCCCCTCCCCTCTATCCGATCACCACCCCCTACCGATATACCACCACTCATCCTGATCTCTCTCACGCTGTCTATAACATCCATCACGACATCCTTTCCTTTCTCTACGCCATTACGAAATTACGTTCCGAAAATCTCCTACCTTACGATATCGGTCCCTGAACCTGTCTTCTCAAGTCGCTGACGCAATCGATTTATTGCGGCGGGTTGTACGGGTAGCAAACTTTGTCGAACCAACAAGTGCTTCTTAACCTTTGTCGGTCCCGATAGAACTGAGAGACCTCTCCCAAGGAAGAAATATAACAATACCTATTGTTGACGATATAATGGCGCCAACAACACACTCCCCGAAGCGGTCACCCCAGGGTGTCGCAAAGGCTACCCATCACAACCCCGCGGGTCGTTCCCCGAGAACGTCCAATAAAGCTGTCTCCCTCGGTTCTCTGAACGCTGATCGGAAACGAAGAGCGGCCTCCGTCTCGAGCGTGTCATCCGTCTCATCCATTGGCGAACTCAGCGATGATGCAAATGATTCCGAGGATGATGATGCAGATGACGAAGAAGAACAGCCCGCTGTTCGTGGCCCGTCTTATGGTCGCCGTGACAGGGCCCATAAGACGGGTGTCAAACAAAAGAAGACAAAAAAGATGAAGTTCTCCGACGATGACGGCTACGATGGCCAACGGAGTAGCGATGATAACAATGAATCCGATGAAAGCTCCGATGATGTCTATGCCGCTGTGGACTATATCAGCGATGGCTCAGATGATGAGGAACAGGATGTAGAGAAGTTGGAAGAGTTGTTGATTGTGGAATCTGAGAATGAAAACCCTGTTGGTGGTATCCTGGCTGCTCCCGGCGCTGATGCTTGGGCCGGTCCCAATGTTTTCGACGATCATATGATCCTGTCGGCTGCGTCCTTCTTTGATGAAGAACAGCTTTATACTGCCATGGAAGCCTTTGGGGAGACCGACATGGCTAGCGAGACTGCTATTGAGACCCCGGTGCCGCGCCGGGTGCATTTCGAGGAAGACTCAGACTCCTCGTCTGATAGTGATTCCCATACTGAAGATGAGATCCCAAGTGATTTCCTCCAGCAGGATAGTCTCGATCCCCAGTTGCGTCGCATGATCGACAATGATAATGAAAATTTATCCCGCCGCCGGCGTCAATCTGAGGAGATGTATGCCGACTCAGACTATGGGCATTCTAATATTTATCACGTGGAATCCGATGCCATCTCCGACGGTTCGGAGTCAAGCGGCTATGAAAGTATGCATGCAGCTGGTCAACCCCGCACATTTCATTTACTGACACGTTTGAAGCCGATGATGGCGAGACTACAGATGAAGATCTCCCCCCTCCTGCCACCATCACTCATCCCAGATCTATCCTGCGTCGTGATTCTTCGGCCTCGTTGGCGCCCACAGGCGATGAGAAGAGCGAAACCACTTCTCGTCGGCGAGGACCTATCATGGGGACATTTGTCGCCGATCCTCATAAACCTGTTGCACTTGTCGACTGCACTGGCAAGCACCTTGTGATCATTCCTGCCTATGCTTCTTCTCGCCATGATTGGCTTGAATCTGCCACGAACAGTGCCTGCAATACTGCTCACAACAGCCCGCGGGCTACTACCATGCATCTTATTGACGAGAGCGACACGGATGCCCTCGCGTCGCCCAACCATGCTGATCTGAGCCCCATGCTAGCATCGAGTGCCAATCTTATGATGACTGCTCTTGGTAATGATATTGCTCCGGGTGGTCAGGTAATGGGCCCGCCCGAGGCGTTCTATCCGTCCCGTGACTTTGCTATCGATAGCTCTTTCGAGGACGATGATGAAGATGATCCGGAGTCGGCTTTGAATGTCGAAGACTTCATTGACTTCGGTGATGGGTCATCTGATGACGAAATGGACAAGGCGTTTGACGAAGAGGCGCTGATGTCGCCAATGACTGCCCGACCCCTACAGGCCGGCACGGGTACGCCGACCCCTAATCGCGGTGCTGACTCCCAGCAGGCCAGCAGTGCGGAGCGATTCCTAAATCACCTGGACCGTGGCATCGTTACCGCATTCCGCCGGAATCACAACCGCTACCAAGCCCTGTTGCGTCTCCCACAACATCGGGAATTTATGCCGGCCAATTCGCCTTCTCGCCCCGCTAGCGTCTTCAGGCATGCACGCCATGCAGACCAACGCACCCCCACGCGCAAGCGCAAAGCTAGTGGGTACAACGGTGGGGAGGCGGTCCGACGAAAGCTGATGGACGCCCACCGCCACACCCAGCTCCCTTTCTAAATACTACCTGACACTGCGCGATACCCTTGATATCTCTGATTTGAGGCGAACATAGCGTGCCTGGATTTCCGCTAATTCCGAGGACATATTGAACATTTGTACATGGATTTAGAGTCTGTGTTTCTAGCATAGACGATGATGCGTTTGTTACATCGGGAACGTGGCTTGGTTGATCCAGCCTCGTTCTCTACCAAACGCGGGTGTTCTGCATGGGTTCTCTCTCCGACAGAATTAGGTCTTCTTTCTCTTGTGGTCGGAAAGATGGGGGATATCTCATGGCCAAAAGTTCGAGTTTGATGACATTTGATTTCTGGAGTTGATCGAAGGATATACCTTGTGTTACGAAGACCTATTGCTTTTCTTTGTCCTACCTTGATTTTCTCCGTTTGATGACATGTATGCACTGCTACGGCGTCTTAAGCACACGGAAATGCAAATATGAAAATATTCTAAGCAACAGACTAGCAACCGTAGTTCTTAATTTTCCTGCGTAGTATCGAGTAACCAGTGTCTCTAGGCAGCCATTAAGCCATTGACGATGACATTGCCCCTGCCTCTCGCAACTCCTACCTGCGTCGGGTGCTCTCAAACCAAAGGAAATGAAGCAATACCACCTTATGCAAGTCATACCAAGGGTCAGAAGTAAACGAAACCCCTCAAGACCCCTAACGCGATGGTTGGACAGAGCCATTGTGCGACACGCCAGGGGTATAGTAGTAATTCTCTCGTCATCGCTTTGTACAAGAGCGATTAGCAGGTTGCACAACCACCTCCTGTGGAGACAATCCAGCTGAAGTCCGATCCAATCAATCAATTCCATGTAAGCGCATGAAATTAGATTGTACAGCATATATGCATGCATGCTCTATCACAATGATCATCACAAACCCAAACCCCGACCCAGACCCCCAATGTCCGGGGCTTGTATGGTATTCTAGTGGAATGTGGAGGCGGTGGCCCAGGCTCTGAAGGTTGGATTCCGAGGTGGTATTCTGGCGCTGGGGTTCCCTAGGTCACCTAGTCTACGTCGATTAACTAGAGCCTACCTGGCTATCATTTCCTTGATTTCTTCATCAGCTATCCAGCTGTGGCGTGGCGGTAATTGTAGTCAGGGAACTTAGATTGAAGCCTTCGGCGGTTACTTGGTGAATGGGAATGCGTGCTTCTCTCTCTCGCTCACTCTCTCCAGTAAGCTGTAGATCGGTTGAAGTTTGTTTTTTCTGATTCGGGTTGGAGTGAACTGGACTCTTCCAGTAGTACGGTTATTATTAGAATGGGGACTTTATGGATAATCTCACCAGTTGTCAGAGGAGCGATGAATGTGATGAGGGAAAAGGTGTTGGGTCACTCACTGGTCAGGTTTCAGCGCGAGACGCCGGGTTAACTCTACCCTGTCACTGCACACAAACGAGCTTTAGTTGTTGAAGATCGGAGATGCCGCTTTGAGATGATCGTGCAGATTTAACTTCTTCTGGATGCCTGATGTGATATGAATGGATAAATTTGGATGCTGACTGGGCATTTGACA